TTATCCAGCATGTGCGGAACACGATTTTCAAACATCCTGCAACATGTAAAATAGGAATTCCCATAAACTTGTAAATATAAATGTCAATAAGCAGAAGCACAGGATTTCCATCAAGACAAGGCTTTAGGCTTACGATAGTTAGCAATTCTAAGCTTTTTAAAGGCTCATAAAGATGTACGTAAAGCATACCAAGATGTTCCACCGCAGTTGGAAATAACATTGAATAGCTTTCGAGTATTCAGACCCAACCGAGCTCCGAATGCCATTGCCTCGGCAGCTGATGCAATATGAACTCCCGCAAGCAGTTGGTTGACCATTTTTACACCACTGTGGAAACATCAAATAAACAAGTAGCAAAGAAAGTGAACGATGTCCATGTCAGCAAAGAAAAGGATCATGATGGTGATAACAAAAGAGCAAAACAAGTTACCTTCCTGCTCCGCAACCTCCTTTGATCACGTAGAGCTTCTCACTTAATGCTGCTCAGAAATTCATTTACTCAGGCTATGATGTGAACATAAAGAAAGTATTTCACCAGAAAAGTGAAAATAAAATGGTCACCTGCTAACACAACTCCCGCAGACTTAAGTGCTTCATCGGTACCTGAAGCCATTATCTGAAAAAGATAATATAAAACTTCAGCTTCATTACAGTCACAGTAGTCAGTAGATAAGTTTCTAGACTTCATACCGTAAGTTCTCCCATGGCAGCCCTCTTAACACCACCAGAAACAGGAGCATCCACCAGCTTTAGGTCCTTTCCTTCATCTGCAATATTACCAAATAAAAGGATAAATCATAGAACTCAATCAAGTAACAGTAAAAGATCATGATGGAACAGGCATTTCTGTAGCTGGTTACTGAAAAAAACTTACTTTCTAGACGTCTTTCAAGTTGGCTAACAAATGCTGGAGAGACTGTTGAAGCAAGCACAACAGTTGCTCCAGATGGAATAGCTGAAATATTGTGAAAGAAAACATAGAAAAATCAGCTCTATCCACTACTAAAAACTTGGATAATAGAGATATATACCTTCAACTGCTCCAAGATGTCCATACAGGACATCCTCAGCCTGAACCTCGTTTGTTACCATAATTACAAGAACATCTACATCTGTAGTAGCAGATACAAATATAAGCATTATGTATGGGGAAGGTGACTTGAGTTAAGTGTAATCTATCCACTTGACTTGATTTTGAGGACTACCTTTCGTCACATCAGCTGGAGAATTTGCCACCAATCCTCCGGCACTCTCAAATCTGACAAGAGTGGGCTTGTATACCTGCAATTCAACTCAGTATCAAACATTTCAGTTAAACCATGTAAATTTGTTACTGCTTGCTTAAGAGTGATGTAACAGCTTTTCTTCTGGAAGTTAAAAGACTTATTAGCAATCCTACAAGCGAAGAGCTAATCAAAGGCTTACATCATAACCGCGTACATAAAATTTTGATTTCAACAGGTGCGCTGCCATACCAAAACCCATTGCTCCAAGACCAATAAAACCAATTCTATTCACAGGCTTTGCTTGAGTAGTAATTTCTTTGGCCAAATCCTCTGGCTTGTAAAGTTCTTTACTGGCTGCTTCTAATATGCCAACACCAAGTACTTTTTCCCAGATCTGCTCAATCATTAGAGAGGCATGCGTCATTTTCATGGTCTATGACAGTAGTTTTCCGTTTAGTTAAAATTGCCAAAAGTTTCCAAAGAGAACTATATTAAAGACCTTAGCCAATGAAGTAGCTGTACCATCTCCGTTCATCTGTGATATTCCTGAACAGGGGAAGTTATGCATAGAATTAAATAAGTGGAAAGAGGTCGTTATCAGTGTGCCAAACATAAGATCATCTTGATTCATATACCGAGTATTAGTTGTTGACGTGCAACTGCCAAAAGTGGGACAGGAAATGGGAGCGACTTGGCTTTATCTTCAACAATGCCCTTGCCATTAAAAAAGCCAGTTAGCTTTTTATTAGTTACATCAAGACTTAATCACTGGGAATAAAAATTTTACTCCAAGTTGCTGTATCATACCAGATTCTGAGAGAGAACGTCGAGGAAGCGACCTTCTATATCACCTTTCAGCAACAAGGGAATATGATTCTTGTAAATCCTGAAAACAAAATATACACAAGACAAACTGATTCTGTGACAGCCATGGTCGAAGTATGTGGCAAGTCAATTTGGTATTAAACCTTCATGGAGATCTTCAACAAGGTTGTACACAGTTCTTGTTAAGAAAGTAATAAAGAGTATTCCTTTCTTATCATACAACTTACTTACTACTACATGAAATGTCGTCAGCCCTATTAGTCATAACAGTCTTACTATCAAAGCCTTTCCAATTTGGTACTGCGAGACGAATTTTTATTACTCATAGCGAAAGGAAAGTCCTTGTAGCAAAAAGCATACCATGAATTGCCAGCAGCATTGGAAATGATGTCATAGAGTATCCATGGATGCACACCCGCCTGAGAACCTAAAGATATAGCCTCCACAGCAGCAACAAGATGAATGCCCTCAAGCAGCTCATTCACCATTTTCACTTTACTGGTTCAGGAAAAGAAAAGAAAAGAACACGAGATCAACATGTTTTCTATAATAGGCAGTCAAACTCTTGGGACTTGTATCGATTACGTGAAGGTTATATATCACCTGGAAATTTCCATACCTTCCAGCACCAATTTCTCCCTCAAAGGTGTAAAGCTTCTTACACATTGCTTAATGAGACAAAGAAAACGTCTCAGTAACAAAATTCATCCACAGAAAGTTTGCATCTTCAGAGGATCTAAATACTTGAGTAAACTTTTACCAGTAAGATACGGTTGTGCTCTTGTGATTGAATCTGACCTTCCAGATGCTATTATCTATTTAGGTAGAAAGAAATGGGTTACTAAGTTGAGTGTCAATGCGGCTTTTAACAATGAATAGAGATCAACGAGCACAACAGTACTCCACTAACATAACAAACTTATGAAGACGAGTGTATATACCATTAGCTTTCCATCAAGAAGCTCAGACATTCCTTTTAAAACATAAGCATCAACTACAAAAATCTGCTCTCTGTTCTCTGCATCGCAAAACGAATCTCATTTTCAGTTTCACGACTGAAAAGCGCAAACTTCATAATACGGAGGCAAAACCATGCCTCAAAGTATCAAATTGCAAACCTGTAATTTCTTTCTCTAGCTTCTGGAGGTGTAAAGGCGATATGGTCGAAGACAAAAACAATACAGCTCCCTTCTGTAGACCTGCAAAAGAAATGACACATACAGTCTCCTACACAATAGTTCTGAGATAAAAAGTTCACAACTTTGAGGTAAAGAATCTTGGGGATAACCTTTCATAACACCCTCGTCACCAAAAATAATATCTTGTATTTGATCAGGGTGGGATAGTAAAACCACCACTGCTGCTGCACCTGCTTGATCAAAGAACAAAGACAGATATACAACATTAGAAGCAGGCAACAAAGTAAATAAACATGACACAAGACAGTATCAACAGTAAACAGAGGCATGAAACGAGGTAGCAACAGAAACACAACAAAATGGTTTGCATGTGCAGAGGCTAGTACTAAATGTCAAATGCTCGACATTTTGTAAACAAAGTTTGCATCTTTCCTAGTGTTTCTGATTCCTTATAACACACAATCAAGCTGCTACCTTTCCCAACATCTGCAGGGCTGTCACATTTGCATCCTCCCAATTCAGTGAACTTCTCCACTAATTCTGTACTTATCTGTGGAATATAGTTACAAAAACGATTTAGCTTTCCTCCTCATTTCTTTTTCTTCTCAAAAGACAAAAGCTGAAGATGAATCAACTCTTCTCTGTTTCTTTCCAGCCAAAAGCAATAATCACAAAACTTTGAAGTCCTTAACAGAGAACAAACACACTACTAATCAGATCAATTTCACGTATTTATGCTGAATTTAAACTCTGTGTGTTGTGAAGCGTGGAAATTAGCAGCTGGAATCTTCTAAGAATATATTTGAGAAATTCGAAATTCTGTAGAAACCCACAAATTTTCACAATATTTGGAAAACCAGATCAACCTCAAGTTCGAGAACAGAGACACACATGCCGATCCCATAATAAAACAATTAAGAGAAGAAGCAACTGACCTCGAATGCTTGAACTTGAAACCCAGAACGAAGAAGCGAAGAAGCTAATTCGAAGCTGAACGAATCCAGACCAACAAACCCAACGACGCCACCACCGTCAACTCCCATTTTCTCCGACGAACCTATGATTCTCCGGTTTCCTCCTTTCTCCTCCGATGTAATATTCAGTCAACGAACTAGTTTCATACGCATGTCTCACTCTAGTCTCTATATGTATGTCCGTGCTTAACTACTTAGGATTAATTAGTCTTCATTAATTATTGTATACGCGCACTTACGAAGCGTTACACATATCTTCGTAGACCCATACGTGGAAATAAATCCATATCCAAATGCTTTTTTAGCCTTTTAACTTATCTGGCAAAAAGCTAACCTTTATTGTCAGAAAAATATCACATAATTTATAAATGAAAAAAAAATTATAAAAATAAGGATAATTTGTATTGTTAGCTGAGATTCGAGAACATGGCTAAAAATTAAACAACAAGTTAACGTATATATAATATTCATACACTGTTATTAAGATAAAATGACAATATTTCTCTATTTAAGGTTACGGATCATCCTCACTTTCTATATCCACGATCACCTAAACTCTTTAAATTGGCAATTGTTGTGACGATGCTCAGGATAAGTTTTGGATTAGATGATAAGTTTTCACTAATCCAAAGCTTAGTCGTCGTTCCGATGCGTAATGATCGGATCAGAACAGATTAAGCAACCGATTCTCGAAAATTCAGGCAGAAACTCGATTAAATTTTGAAAAAACAAAATTATAACCGCCGTGTGTATATATATACATGTGGAGATGTATTACAAAGTCACACAACATACACAACAACAAGATAAAGAAACCGTTTTCAAACCAAACAGAAATGGAGATTGTTAGAATCGCCGTCGCCGTCGTTCTTGTAGTTTGCTCCGTCACGGCGTCTAACGCCGCAACAACACCACCGAGCGGGGGAGGAAACGCGCAATCAATGCCGTGTATACAGAAACTGATGCCGTGTCAGCCGTATCTTCACTCGGTGACTCCGCCGCCGCCGGCGTCTTGCTGTATGCCGCTGAGGGAGATCGTCGAGAATGACGTGACGTGTCTTTGCTCCGTTTTCAATAACGTCGACATGCTCAAATCGCTTAACCTCACTAAAGAAAACGCCCTCGTCCTCCCTAATGCTTGTGGCGCCAAAGCTGACGTGTCACAATGCAAAAACAGCGCCGGTGAGTTAACTTAATACGACGCCGTTTTCTTGTTTCTTACTTAGCCAAGTGCGACGAGGTATTTTTGACTTTGGTCCTTACTCCTAAGCTTTTTCATTTTTATGTTGACGAAGGTTCTACTTCGCCTTCGACACCAGCAAGTCCGGGATCTCCTCCGGCAACTTCCACTGGTATGAAATACATATATTCATAAAAAAATTAAACGGGTTTACGAAATTTTTTGTTTTATTTCCCTTGAATATTCACATTTTAATTCGAAAAGTAACAGCTATGAAGAAAGTATTTAATTTTGTTTTTAAAATATATGAACAGGAAGCGGTTCCACCGGAGGTTCAGCTTCTTCGTCCACGGCCAAAACAACAAACTCAAACTCGGCTCCAACCATCAACTTCGCCGGACTTAGCTTCGCATCGGCTTTTGTGGCAATGGCAACGATCTTCTTCTGAATTACTATATTACATTGCTTCTTTATTAGATAGGTTTGAAATGTTGGAAATTAATCAGACGATGTTCGGTACGATTTTTATTTCAACTACAAGGCTATAACTGAACGTACTATTAAATTTCTAATAATAGTAATAATTTCCAACATCTCTTTGCCAACATTTTATCTAGCTAAATGCCCATACTTCTAAAAATCGTCTCATTTTTTGTTGGTCTTCTAGTGTCAATTCTAATAAATTAGGACAAAACAAGTCGGCTCTATGGTGTAGTGGTTAGCACTCTGGACTTTGAATCCAGCGACCTGGGTTCGACTCCCGGTAGGACCTTTTTAATTTTTTTTTATCATTTCAACAAAAGAATATAGGAGGAGACGAGAGAGATGGGTATTATAAACCTAAACCATTTAGCTAATCATCTAATTCTACATGAAATTCACAAACATGCACATCACTGCAAATGATTCTGTATTAGTGTCGACGTTATTCGGTTTATAACAGACATATGTCAACTGTAAAAAGCTGTTAAAAATAGATATACCTAGAGATAATAGCTAATGGTTTTGGAAGCTAGCTTTTTAGCTCATGTCTAGATTTTGACGTTGCAACTCCCAGATAATGTAATGTATATAATTGTTCCCTGATTTAAATATGTAGACGATAGTTAATTGAGATCCCCTTTTCACTTTGATTTAAAGTAATGTGTTTATATAATGTTATCCGAGTGTTTGTGTGAGTACTCTGTGTTGTAAGAGTTGATATAAAAAAAGGACTGGTGAAAGTTCATCAAATGGATTCGATTTAACTAATCTTAATTATAAGATTGAAGCCAACAAAATGAGCAAGGATACAACAAAACTAGTAGAATCCAAAGTCCAGGGCACTTTACAAATAAAATCACATAATTCGAACCAGTGTGATCTCCGACAGCGACAAAATCACATACACGCAAGAAAATATACAGAGGTACAGCCACATCATTAAACATAAACCGATGTATATACACGTTAATGGTTATGTATCCACGAACAATATGAAGGCATAAACTAAGAGCGCTCGACAACAGTTTATACATTCTACATCCAATAAAAGCCTAATATTGCTTCTAATTTGTGTGTTGGATGTGTATACATATGCAGTTTGTATCAATTACAAACTACTAATATAAATTTGATAATATCGGTCGAAGTTTGGCATGCTTTTTTATAACACTTTAAGTTTTAATAATACAAACAGCTAAAATAATCCGTTTATACATGTATGATGTATCCAGACAGCTACTGAGCTGTATATAGGAATATCATATATTACTTTGTTTCATGGTACCGACTTGTGTGATCTTTGTTTTTGGCTTTTGGAACTATTTTATTTTAATAAGTCAAAAAGAAAACAAAAAAGAAAGACGGAGGGAGAAGCCATGTCGAATGATGAGTTAGGTAGCGTCGTGACTCGAGCTCAGCCCAATCGCCCAGCTCTTCTCAATCACACCCATCCTTCATCCATGTGCTTTTACTTCTCTCTTCTCTATCGTATTAATCAGCTAATTATTTATACATTCATTTTCTCTGTAGACTGTTGTCAATATGAATCCTAAAACTTTCTGTTTACCCTTTCTAGGTTAGTAAGAAGTTGCATGCAATAATGATTCTCATTGGAATAGTTTATATTCTTGGCTTAACTGTGGTTTCAAAATTTACACTAGCTAGGGACTTAATGTTTTGACACATTCCATAAGAGAGAGGACAAGTGTACATTCATTGCATCATTTGAAAGAGGGTTGCAATACATTCCCGTAATGTTTACCAATGAGAATTTATGTAAACATTACAATTACAATTTAATACTCAAATTGCAGCATAATATTATATATATATATATTAAATTGTAATGTTTACCATCTAAAACTGCCTGTAGTTAATTTATTTGACGGCCTAAACCGTTAAAAAAATCATGTTTTTTTTGTCTACGCCTTGCTTCATGCTGTTTTGCTGAATAACATTTAGTTCTAAATGACCTTTGTCACAACAAAAAGTCACAAATAAATATACGTTATATTTTAGTAATTTTTTTGTTTGGTAGAACGAAAGATAAACAATGAAGCTAGTCTCACAAGGGCTGAATCTGGTTAATTATCGAGTTTGACTTGATTATAATTAAGTATCGGCCACACATATAGGAATTGATGAATTAATATTGTTGAAACGAAAGCCTTACTTTTTGTAATTTAATTACTTAAATTTATATCTATCAGATAGACTAATAAAGTTAAGAAGCGACAACTATAAAACGGGAATAAAGAAGATACACACAGTTGTACACAACCAGCTACAAGATTAATTAATACTTAATCAACTCTTAATCCCTAAACTAATACAGCTAAATGTACACATAATTATAAAAGCCAGCCCATTTCTACGAAACATCTCTCTAACTGTCTCTCTCTATCTTTCTCTTTCTCTTGTTCTTCTACTTCGATCACAATAATGGGAAACACATCTTCATGCACACCATTGATCATATCATCAAACTCATCATCAGGAGTAGTCAAAATCTTAGCTCCTTTCACCGGTACACTCGACGTTTTCTCAAAACCCATCAAGACCTCCAATATCGTCTCTCAAAACTCCGGTCGTTTTATCACCGACTCAACTTTGCTCCAAATCGGCCAACGAGTCACCGCCGTATCTCCCGACGAGTTCTTGCGGCCTAGACGACATCTCTACCTCCTCCTTCCGATAGACATGCTCTTCTCTGTCTTAACACACGAAGAACTCGCTCTCATCTCCGAAAAAGCAGCAGAGATACTCAACGAAAGTCGGTATAATCATTTGAAGAGAATATTTCCGGTTTGCATGTTTCCGGTGACTGGAGACAAAAGAAGAAACTTATCATCAGTGAATGATGATGGTCATCGTGATCATGATGGTGTGGAAACAAGAGAAACCCTAGAAGAGAAGGTATTATACGAATCAAAATATGGATCCTGGAGGCCTGGATTGGAGACGATCGTGGAGAGCTAAATTAATGAAATCTTAAGGATCGTTAAATACTTTGATATTATATATCAAACATACATAGACGAGTATTTTTTATTCTTTCATTTTTTCCTGATTTTTTTGTCCGTGTTTTAAAGAGAAATTGAGGCTTATACATATGGTTTTGCACACGATTTGAACTTGACTTGGATTAATTGGTTACCCACAAATCTTAAATCATAGGGATCGGCATGAGGTAGAGCATATATATGCAACTTCTCTCGTATGCTTAATTGCTTATGCATATTTGTAGTTAAATTTTATGTTCAGTAACAATATTATAATGTTTAAATATTGAATTTACTAACAATTTAGTGAAGGATGTTTGCTGAAAATACTAAAATAGTTACTTTATTTTTTAAAAGGTAAACATGTCTTTTTGTAATAATGGTAGACACTAGATACATGCTAGTATTATTTTAACTCAAAAACGTAAATTCTGCGAGTTGTGTGATTTGTTTAAAAGTATTCAACGATGGTAAATGAAAAAAATGAAAAGGTATACTTTCAATGAACCTCAGGAGTCAGGATCACATGCAATGCAAGTAAGTGATTTTGACTGGATATTGTTTTAGCCGTGGAAGTATTAATCCGACAGCTATAGAGAGTCTGGAATTTTCTTCATCTGATAAGAATGATAAAATGGTCAACGAAGACGGGGAGGTTTCTGGTAAACCAGATTTTAGGTACAGCTATTTTTGTATTCGGTACGTATAAGTATATATATATATATAAATAACTTTGGTACGTATATATTTATATATATCGCAGCAGAGTTGAGAATTTTATTGGAACCATTCGTAGATACTCTGAATATAGAAGATATCGCCAGCCGATCCAATAATATAACGAGGAATATTAGAAAGGACCTGCGCATTTTTTTTCGTCCTAGGCCAAAAGTCTACACCTACCTGAGAATACGTATATCAATATATCATACATAAGCAAGCTTTTAGCATCAAAACTCAAATAGTAGATGATAAAACATATATAGTTGGAAGATACTAATGATAACTTGATAAGTGTTCAATCCAGTTTATAATTTGATTTTGTCCAAACTAATTAAGTAACTATAAATACCTTTGGTGGTCCACCAAATGAAAACTCAATTTTTGCAAATATACTAGTATAAATTAAGAACCGTAAAAGATCCCTAAAACAACCTAATACCTTCCAACTAGTCACCATCGAAGCTATACCAAACCAATCTAAATTAAATTAAACCACTGTTGTTATGATAAATCCGAAAACTAAAAGACTCAATCCAAAATCGAATTCAAATCTCGCATTGAACTTATAGTCTTAATAGTGCAATACTATTGCATCATTTTAAATTCATTACTAAGCTCTCTTGAATGGTTGAACCGTCCATTCTGGATCAGACCAAAATCAGACTAAGCCACTTTTTGTCCGAATTAGTTAACTGGAACCAAAGAAAGGTGTATGTACAGTAACCTCATACCAAAATATTATATTGTTCGTTCAAATGTTTCAGTTCATCCTAAAATAAAACGTACCTGTACCCAAATGTTGGTCCGGTTGGTTCGATCGGGAGTATTGCTGAACAAACCTGACGACTGAAGGTAGAAAATTTGTAGTAACCTGGGCCAAGACCCATCTATAAGCTCATCGACTGTATCGTATATTTGGGCTTCTAGAAAGACACGAGACTGACAAAGCAACAATATGTGTGAGTCATATATAAAAATAAATGATAAAATAATTAAATAGCTAAATAAGGGCATCGCCTAACACCGTGTTTGCGTAGGGACGAGTTTGTGGATGAGCACACTCTTTTAGTATCTTTTATTTTTGTTGTTGTAAACAGACAAAAACTGACTCACACCCACTTGCACAGCTTCTCCACCCGCTCATGAAGCGCGTGTCTCCTACACTCTTCCGATTTTTCTTCTCCGTGTCTGTGCCGAGAGGTTTTTCTTGTCGTCAACGAGCTGACTTTTTTTGTTTCATAAACCGAGCTGGCTATTTAGATCTTCAAGTTTGATTTTTATTTGACGAAAACAACAAAATATATCGAAAGGACAGCAAAATACTCGTGATAAATTAGCCTAAGAGAATTCACACAGCTCCTTTTAACGTTGACTTAAAATCGTATGTTCTTCTAGACTTTTGTATCATAATTTATTTATCTATAAAAGGCGGTTTACTTAAATTAATCTGCTTTACCTCATGATTTGTTATAAGTAACCAATGAAAAAGTTTGTTATCAAAGGCTGAATTTTGTTAGAAATTTGAATCCATTTGGCAGAGAGTTGTTATCTTATTAGTTAACAAATCCCAAAATACAATTATGTTAGATTCGGTTCACGAAATGAAACCAGGAAAATCTAGTTAATAGCCCGCCAAGTAATTTAATTTAGAATAAATGAAGCGAGTTTATTTTAGAAGAAAACAAAAACAAAATGGTTGGACGAAACATCGCCACCTGAAGCGCGTGGGAGTTTATGAACACATCGTGGGATTTTCCATATAAAGACAGTCCTAAAACCAAACCATCTCAACAAATAAATCGCAAACAACTTTCTCTCTCTCTCTTTCTTTCTTGTTGCTTATCCTTTTTCTCTCTCATACTTGCTTAAAATCGATTATCTCGAATTCGTTCGCAGAAGCCTTTTCGATTCGAACTCTTATCTCTCTCGTTCTAAATTCTTGGGCCAGCGGAACAAATTTCGATTGAGGGATCTAAAAAAAATGACAGGATTCTCTGTATCTCTTTTCGTCTCAAACTTGTCAAATGTCGCCTCCTATCTCTCTCCGATCTTTGAGACCATCCCGTCGAAGGTTGTTCCGGCCCAGATCGAGAAGGTCGTCTCTTTGGTCTCTCGCACCGGTAGAGATTTGCAGCGTTACGACACCACTGGATATCGTCAAGTCGTCGGGTACGTCATTTCCCTCAACCCCCCCCCCAATTCGAATATTCTTTGACCGCCGTGGTTCTAGGTTTTCGGAATTAGCAATGATCTGTTACGTATGAATTAGGATTTAAAGCAATCTGAAATTGTTTTGTTGTAAAAAAAAAAAAATTCCGAAATTTCGTCTGTTAAAATGTACCAATTTCTTTGCTCAAACAAAAAAAAAAAATACCAATTTCAAAAATTCATGTTCATTAGAATATCGTTAAAACCGTCAGTTGTCTGAATCTTTGTAATCCCGCGGGAATTTTAAATCTTAGTTCGAATTTTTTCAAATTTGAGGACGATCTCTGTTTGATTTGTTTTGTTGAATCTGTAATCTCATACAAAATTGGTCAATTTTTCTGCAGATGCGTACCGTACAGATACAAGACACAAGAAGTCAATGGAGTCGAATCCAAAGAAATCGAAGTTCTCGTTGTCAGTGCTCAAAAGGGCAAAGGAATGTTACTGCCAAAAGGAGGTTGGGAGACAGACGAATCCATGGAGGAAGCAGCGTTGAGAGAGACGATCGAAGAAGCGGGAGTAACAGGAGAGCTCGAAGAAAAGCTTGGGAAATGGCAATACAAAAGCAAAAGGCACAACATAATCCACGACGGATACATGTTTGCGTTGCACGTCAACGAAGTATACGAGCGATGGCCAGAAGCTGAGTTTAGACAACGGAGATGGGTAGGTTTGGATGAAGCAAGAGGAGTATGTCAGAATTGGTGGATGAGAGAAGCTCTCGAAGCATTCATCAACCTGAAATGTAACAACAACACCGAGGTTGTTGAAGTCAATGAAAGTGGAAACTGAATTTAGAGTTGGTAAGACAGAGCTTTTAGACTTAGAAACCCTCCGTGTGGATCAGAAGCTTCTTGGAGGATTCGTTCGGTCACGGCATCTCTCTTTGAGAGGTGTGGAAAAGTTTTGATCGTTTTGAAGATGAAAGTCAACTTTAGTCTCCTAATTTTATTCATTCTTTTGTATACAATGATGATTTATACATTCATTCTTTGACTGTGGATAAAAATGCTTGACAGGTTCCTTCAATAAAACGTTTATTAACTCAATTACATGTTCGTTTCTCGATCGTACGTCTTGTAATTCCACAAGATTATACCACAGAATCAATTTGTATCCTTTATCAATCAATTCCGACACTCCAAAAGATGTTAGAAAGTGTTTGATAACCTTAGATGAAGATTTGGGCCCAAATGAGTTTATATACAGGCCCATATGTAATATTGATGGGCCTTGAACGGTAGAGATTTTGGTCAATATTGTGGCCTAAACCCTAGGACCGCTGGATAAACCCTCCTGATTTGCTTTATCTCCAAGGCGCGCGAATCGCGAAAGCTTGATCTGTTTCGTACAATCACACTCGTGTTTAAGATTTTATGACATATTTCCCTGTCGGATTCTGCTCTCTGCACGTTTGAAAAAAATGGCGGATTCGAGTGCCGAACCGGCGGGTGGTTCTACGGGGTCCGTGGCTCCTGATGCGAGCGTTACCCAGATTCAGCCGATCCGGATGCCAACCATAGAGGAGATCCGAGCTCAAGAGGTCTGGAACAACTGCGCCATTAAGAGTGTTTTTAGTGGAGTTATGGGTCAGTTCCAACATCTCTCTCTCCGTGTCGATCTATTTAAGCTTCATTGCTCCTGGTTTTTAGACTCGATTGGTTCTCTCCAGTATAATTGGTTTTTCTCTAGCGAGTTCATGTTCAGGAGTTTGTTAAAAAATTTCAGTGGAGAACTGGAAATATTAAAATTCCTCTAGGCGTATAAAGTGTATGAAATCGGTTATACATTTCTTTAGATGATTTGGAGAAAGTGTTTAGCTTTATAATAGTGGATATGTTTCTGAGCTTGGTAATGGATCAATTTCAGAGAAATGCGCTTTGAGTCGGATTTGGTTTGGTAACTTTAAGGATAATTGTTGATGTGGAGATATCGAATCGAATCGAATCTGTTGTACATTCAATTAATGATGCTTTTAGAGAGGCATTTCTCTGACTTAAAGCTACCAGATCGGCAAGTGAGGATATTGAATTCAACTGACTATGTGTGAAATGTGTGTGTAGGAGGAGGGCTTGGATTGATGATGGGAATGTTCATCGGAGCACTTGATAATCCTATAATGCACGACACCATGACTGCTAGGCAGCAGTTTATGTTCACGGCAAGACAAATGGGTTCAAGGAGTTGGGGTTCTTGCAAGACCTTTGCGGTTATGGGTTTGGTTTTCTCTGCAGCTGAATGCATCGTCGAGAAGGCAAGAGCGAAGCATGACGTAACCAACTCCGCTATTGCTGGATGTGTTACCGGTGGTTCTATGGCTGCCAGAGGTATATAATATCTCTACCATTTTTCTCCGTATTGATTTTTAATTCAACATCAATGGCCTCATGCAGTGACTTCTTCATTTATGTTTTTGCTTTCATGATACATTGTGTTTTTTTGGGGATTGACGGATTGGTTTTGTTATCAGGTGGACCAAAAGCTGCGTGTATAGGTTGCGCTGGCTTTGCTACGTTCTCTGTAGCCATAGAGAAGTTCTTAGACGGCCGTTTCTAAAACCAGTGAGATATCTAACAAAACGCCATTGCTGGTAAAATTTTTAGCTGCTTCCTTTCTGTGATAGTGATACAACAGTTCATCACCCGAGTGTGCACAGTGAGAGGAACAACACTAGATTTACACTATTAAACATAGAAGAAAGCGAGGCCTTGTTTTGATTGAATATTGTTCATTATTTTTTGTCATTATATTTATCATAGATTTTACAACACTCAGGCTCCAATGTTGAAGAACAAAAAATAAAAACACTAGTCCTGCCACCGAAGTTCCAATTCTCAGAGTTTTAAGTTCCTTACAGTCTTGTATTCACAAAATTGCTGTAGTAAGATCAAAATTTGGGTAAGAGCTTGAAGCCTATACTGACGAAGCAAAATGCGTATAGGCTTGAAACAGAGTTACAATTAGTTGCCCATACAAAATTACATTTGTATATGAAGAAAATAGCAAGATACTTCATTACAAACTAAAAGCACGAATTCGTTTGGTTTTGTTTGCTCAGAGTGTTGTTCACCGAGTTCACCGAGTCTACCAATAGTGGTGAAACAATGTTTCTTGGCTCATCAAAATCAATTCTAAAACTGTGGTTTATAGCAGCAACTGTACAAGAGGGCGTGTACTTACGCTACACGTGCTCTTCTCCGGCTTTTCTCTTCCTCTGAAGCTACCAAGGACAAAGATGATGTCACTTCTCTTTCTGATAAGCATCTCTTGTATGGCCTAAACCCATTTGCACGATAACACGGTTCTGGTTTCTCGGACGAGGTTAACCGACTCTTGTCCAAGTTCTCTGAAACTTGTGTGACAGAGCCAAACGCATTAGAACCGGTACAAGAAGTTTCCCATACCCCAAGAGATAATTCAGTGTCGACATGCCTAGAATCAATACGCAAGGTGGATTTCTTGTTCCCCGAGTAGTGATTCTCCTGATCATTATCATCACTGTAAGTGGATGGTTTGTGAGATTCTTCCGCCACAAGGACAACCTTCCCGAAAAGCTTAATGCTTGAGATGGTTTGTGCATCAGCATCCTCTTTGAGGGATTGCTTGGATGCTGAGTAGTCATTCTTTGCACCAATGGACTGGATGTCACTGGTACACGAGTTAGGAGAGGAGCATCTGTTGATCTGATCCTCTGAAGCAAACGCTGATAGGACTGAAGTTGGAGACTTTGCTCCTTTCTCCTCCATAGCCGAGGAAGGAGACTGAGAATACGGAACAGGCGATTTCCGAGGATAAGGATGTGCCGGTTTCCTCTTTGGACGTGGAGGCGGGATCACAATGCTACCGCTACAATTGTCAGCTTCTCGAGCCACCTGCAATGATGGATCAGACAAAAGCTGTCAAAACACAGCGAGAACATCATCACTCTTAGTTAGAGGTGTTCTAAAACATGTAAATGCACAAGACCTTGGAGAAAAACTTCTGAGCATGGCTTCGTATCTGTACAGTTGTTTTCGTGCCTACGTGTTCTGCACCAAAATTACTTCTTTAGAACTACACTCTACAGTTTAATCAAGCTTCAAATTCATGAATATAAAGTCACCTTCGATTTGACGCCAGCTACGACCATAAAGCTTTACAGCTTCAAGGAAGCGATCATGCTCTTCCTGACTCCACTTCTCTCTCTGCTTAGTTACTATGTACGGCTTCCTAACCTTCAACGAGCAAATGTACAGAGAGGTTAGAGACAATTGGAGAAAATCCTGAAATTTGTGTTTTTTCTCAGTTCTTAACAAAACATTATACCTTCACCACGTTTTCAGTCCAATTACTACTGGTTTCTGGATTTGTTCCTTCGTTGGAATTGCAGCTTCCGTTTTCTAGGTTGCTGCTTAGCTCCTCACTTGGATCCTGAAGCAAAAAAAAATGGATGCAATGAGTTAAATGGCTTGTAAAGCAACAACAAAGCCATCAATTCGATAAGCTTCAGTAACTGCTCATAAATTCATTAATCTGTTCTCCAAACGAATAAGTTAATTACCAGAGCAGCCATGAAATAAGTATCTGATAAGCTTCCTAGCTGCTGCGACTGATAACTCAAATTTCCAGCCTGAGAACGAGCAAGCAGAGTTGCAAAAGCAAATCAGATTTGTAGTCTCGTAAACAATCAGATCGAAGAGACAATAGGGAGAAGGAAAAGAAACCTCGAGAGAAACTGTGCAAGTATCTGGCGGCCGATTAGTTTCTTGTAAACAGTGAATAGATAAAGTAAAATATCTTTGCTTTTTCCCAGAAAATCAAATTCCTGTAAACAGAAAGATTTTTCCCGAGAAAATTACAAAAATGATAAAAAAAATGAATAGTGGGAAGAAGAGAAAGGTGGAGACAGTGAAGAGAAGCTACTAGAAAGAGGAGGTGACGATTTTTAAATAGCTGAGATGTGCCACGTCAGATTCAAATATTTTATTATTTTCCTTCTTTATTTAATGTCACGGAAATTTCGAGAAGGACAGAAGGTGACAGATATCTTGTGGCTGAGAACAATCCTAACGAACCCTTCACTCTCGCTCCTTGGCGGTGTACAATACGCGCTTCTTGTAAGAATCTGAGCTGTTTCTTAATCCAACCAAAAAACAAATCTGTGGATAAAGTGGGGTGTTATAAAAAGATAATGAGAGTTCTGTAATTATTGGGAAGATATCTTATTATATTTTTTTTTATCCGATTCGTCTGTCTTCCACAAGCTTTTGTGATACTCTCTACTCTTTTGGCCCAAAACAAATCTGGTTGTTCATATTTTAACCTTGGATTTGGAAAGAAATATATATATGTCCGCAATTACTATTTCTGTTATGACTTTTTCAGTTGTGACATATTTACTTATACCTCCAAAATATCTCGAGGAATTGATTCATTAAATAATTTAAAATGTAACCCGATTATCTCTTTGGTCGTTACTGAAATCGAATGATAATGAAGGAAAATTTCACACGAAATTTATTAAAAAAATGATTGGGATAATGGGCAAATCAGTCGCATCACATGGTTGCGGATGTGACAACTTAATTCTATTATAACATAGACCACCAGAGCCACAATTTTGATACGGCCAGATCAACCCATTCCTCTCTTTTTATCTCTTTCTGTTTCAATTTTTTATGTATATTTTTTTTATCAAGAAAAATGAAAATGAGATCCCTCCTAGATTTTTTTTCTTCAGACTTTAGCCAGATATAACATTGATGAGCTCCTAAAATTCCTTCTCGTTACGCAAGAAACCATGACCACATCTACATCTATACTTTCTCTCACATTTGTCCACAAGGAATTAAGGCTCAAGCCCTCATGATTCAACACTTATGGCAGCTTTGAAAACAAAAGTTATCAAAATGATATTTCTTATTCATAAATATCGAAACCACGTACAAGATTTGTTCTCAATCTAATCAGTACTAATTTGTACAATCTCTCATAAAGGTTAATAAACCATAGACGTACTCACATCTTACCAAAAATAGTCTCCACTGGTGCCAAACGACTGGTTTAGTTAAAGATGGTATTCTCGGCAACAGACATGACTTCAATACACTTTGTTGAGCCCGTCATTAGACACTGAAAGTGTTATGTTCTTTATCGGACCCGTCTGTTTTAAGACACTCTGTAGTCTGCCAGATTCGAGCAAATGATTTTCCAGAAAACTAAAAGATAAAAATTGGTGACATCTCCAACAGACAAAAGTATAAACTTACAGAGAAACTATGCGCTATTCCATGCTTGATACTCAATCTTCGGTTGGTTCTTCGTCATTCTTCTTGGAAAATAATGCATACATAGTAGTATCAAATACAATACCAACATAAAAAGCAAAAGAAGCATTAAAGTGTTTATAATTGATCAGCAATTTTCTCACAAATGCGAGTGATGCATAGAAAGAGACAGGGCCAAACCTCCAACACAGACTTAGCTTCGGAATCAAATGTTTTGCAAAGTATCTCATACTTCACCGCGAAAGTCTGCAAAAGAGAAATGTAGAAGGGTTCTCTAAAAATACTTTTGATGAACGCCTTACGGCTCTTACAGAAAGATAAATAAAACTAAGACTACTGATTCTGTACCGGAAGATTAGCTTTTGATGGTGAAATGCTTGATATTCTGTATCTGTATAAAAAATGAATGCAATTTCAGATGTTTGGAAGATCCAAACAATAAATTATTGAATATAGCAAGAAACCTATCAACACTTCCAAAAAATCTCATCTGAGTTATGTTACTTGGAGTAAGATCTTCCAAAAGGTTACCTCTTACCCTAGCTTGCTCATGTAGAAAGTCATTGCCAATGCATTAGATGTCTGAACAGTTAGCACGACAGCACTCATCCGATTCTGAGAAGAAGCAAAGAAAACATAACCATATTATATTATCGTCAAGCTACGAATCTGAAAGTAGAAGCAAGTGACATCAATATCGAGACTCATTTAGGAACCAACCTTAGAAGCAATGAGCTCAATCAACTGCATTAAAAACTCTCCCAGTCCTTTGCCTTGAAACCGAGATTCCAGCTGAATTTCATACACGTAAAGGACAGGTATGTCTTCCTCTAAAGTAAACCGGTAATGCACAAATCCAGCTATCTGATTACTCCCTTCCACGCAAATCCTCCGAGTAGACGTCTCATAGGCTTTACCATAACCCCGTTCGTGCACAAATATATAATGTGCGTCTGCGGAAGACATCTCCTTACGCTTTGCCTTTGCTTGTATTGGCCAATCAGAGCCAAAGAATCCTTCCATGTTCGTCTGTGAATTTTAGAAACATCATGTATAATAAATTCACACGAAATTTTTGAAGGAGTATAATGCTGCTTCGTTTTTCGTTTTTACCCTCAAGAGCTTTTGAATGTGTTGCTTCAGGGTCGAGGAGAGCTTATCTCCACGGCCAGATTCCAGGTACACAGATAAGTCTACAAGAACGTAAGCAACACATAAACACAGAATTAGCTCACGCTGTGTTACTAACAATTGTAAAAGACAAGTGTTTCTCTTAGCATCAACATTCATCAAATCAAATTCTCTTCGTAAATGATAATCAAATCCCATACAAATAAAATTCAAAATTTCAGGAATTGGCGAAAAATGTAAAAGGAGAAAGAACCATTTTTCCGGTAACGGCGGAAGGAATCAAACGGAGAAAGAGGATCGGCAACAGAAGAAGCTCTTTTGATAAGGTCATGAATCGTCTTTTTCTTCTCCAATATCTGCACAACGACAAGTCTCGAATCACCAATTTTGAACAAAATCATAATCGAATTTCAAATGCTATAAAACATGCACAATGATTCCGGGATTTTTCACCTTTCGCCGGTTCTTCGAATCCATGGCTCACCGCGCCGATGGTCTCTTTCTCTCCGAAGTGGTTTGGTAGGCGCCGGATCAATCAAACGGGTTTGGACCCGAAATCAGATCCGACAATTATATATGACGTCAACCCGAAGATTAATTTCGTTTTAAGTTCGATAAAGAAGCCCAATTTTCTTTGTTAACTACAAGGCCTTTTGTTTTGTTTCCTCAAGTCAACGGTGATGTTCAACTTGATAAAAGGGTCTAAAGTCAAAACTATGCCAACAAATTCCTTAAATCACTTTTTACCACTGCGTCTGTAATTAGTGTAAGAAGACGTTTGATCAAAATTGTATCCTAATTGATATTTCTCCATCAATTCTTGCAAATCAACACAAGTACAATGCCTGAATACTGAACTAAATTTGCAGTTTCTCCAGCATGAAAATATGATTTTAGGAGTCGGGAGCTTTCCTCTTCTTGTTAGCGACAGATGAAGCTTCATCAAGTTTAGACTGACCAAAAACAGACCTGCAAATTACAAAAGTTTCTGGATATCAGAATCAAACAACTTCGTAGTTTGAGAGAGAACAAGATAAGTTAAATCTCTTACCCGCAAGTTGAACATTTCTTGTGATGCTCACAGAAAATAGACAGGCACACTGAACATATATAGCCCATATCGATAGTCTTCTTGTGGCAAAAACACCTGCAAGTTTTTGTACATAAACCATCTGTTATGATATGCAGAGGAGACACGACTCGAGTCATTGAAGAGTCTATGGATTTTATCACTTACGATGCGCGAAAATCAACGCCTACGGGTTTAGGAAGTTGTACAAAACCCCGGGTGTACAAATCAGTGGCAAAGATCGTCTTTTTTGTGGAAAAACAAAACAAACGAGAGTTAGCACAACATTGATTGGGATAAATGTAACGAGTCACATAAACCCAATGCAGGTGTAATGGTTTGCGTTTGGACTTGAGTTGAGTGGAGAGTGTACCGTTAGATACTGAAACAGCCCATCCAACTGTTTAGGTGAATGATGTACGCCGCCAGTTATATACGATGCCTACAAATATGCCACGTAGTAGAAAACTAATGAATAGGTTGAGCTTGAGGAGTTGAAGATTCGAACGGTAAAGGAGAAATGAAATTACCTGCTGCAAGAATGCTGAGTTCTGTGTACCTATGTAACATGAATCAATGGGAACCTAAACAAACCAATTTGATGAAGTGACTTGAGTATAGACTTTTGGAATTTTGGAGAACGTCTGTAAATTCCAAAGAAGAACCAGTCAAAATGTAAGAGTACCATTAAGCGTTGAGCAGAGAAGATAGAGTTCATGACAGCTACATATCTGAAAGATATAATATACAAAACACTTCATGACTCTAGACAAACAGGAGAAAGTATTGCAAGTAGAAAAATGTTTACAGAAGAGCATACTGTTCCGGGCCATCTGGGGAGCCTTGCAAGCATAGAATCTGCATTTCATATAGATGCCAATAGCACAATCAGTTCTATTATCAAAAAGACAGCTGAGTAATACGTTTATCATACTGAAAACACGCACCCGAGGCTGCGGATGAAGATGTCCAGAACGGAAAACCCTCTGTATATCTAGTCAGAAAATCAAGGCAAAACAAAAAGTGACGACCACAAACACATATTACCAAATGACATAGGTTAAGCCAAGAACACACATATCGACCTAAAAACGCTATTCTTTTCCTAACTTAACCGGACTTGGACAGGAAGCTGTTACTATCTTAAACGTTGTGTGATCAAATGCTAAATGCTTTCTTTCATAAGGATACAGCAAAGAGCCATGGAGAGTGATCCTGACAGGAGAGAGGAAGCTACTCTCTTCTCGTTATCCTCTTCCTTGCAGAGCTCCTCATCTTTTGCAGAAAACTCGTCCAATTTCTTCAGCAAAGAACTGAAAATGGCAGGCATTCCAGTTCCACTGCTCTCGAAATGCCCATTCGGTGTCAAAGACGAATCATAAATGTAATCACAGGAACTGTATCCAGTAGCTATAACTACAACTTGGTTCAACTGATTCAATCCCAATACCGCGTTTAGAAAAGCAAGCACCTACATTGACATTAATCCCCAGATTTCTTTGAATACAAACGAAGCATTAACACAAACAATTGATCCTCCAGAAACCACTTACTTACATGAGAGAGGAATTGAGAGAACTTAATCGATGTAGTGCTCCAGTAAAAGGGATTCGTGTCCAGCAACAAGACTAGGAGACTAACATCGTCTGCGAGCATATAAAATCACGAACAAAATCAGAGTTGCTCTCCAGTTTAAGCTTCAACGATTGACATAATGATAGGGTTTCTAATCAAAGAGGAATTTGAGACCTGAATACAGCTTAGAAGTAACGGAAGCCATAATTTCACAGAACCCAAGTCAGAATTTCAGTGCCGTGAAAATCGTCACTTCTTCTCCGATATCTGTAAAGAAGTCTCGTGCTTCCGATCCAGAACGAAATTAAAATCCAATTTTTGAATGCTATGAACTTAAAATCACTGATTCGATACAGAAAGCTTCTGGGTTTCTCTGAAGTGATACACAATCGGAGTCGGATCCATCAAACGGGTTTGGATACTAATCAACTCCCACAATATATACTACGCAGGCCCAAGTATGGCCTTTTTCTACAACTTAGTATTTACTTATTTATCGATTAATTAATAGATTTACGCAAGCCCAAATTTGTGGAAGTTTTACTGTACAACAGAGATCTACTACATTAAATTTGAGCAATTTAAACCCGCCGGTTTAGCCAATCCAGTATGACTCCAGCGATAATTCCTCGTTCCGGTTCAAAGAGCAGATCATGCAACAACCCATCGAATAGTTTGATCGACTTGTCGGACGAGGAAGCTTCATCGTATAGTCTCTGAGTACCTTTAGGATCCGTGACCGTATCAGCTGTGCCGTGCATCACAAGAAACGGGACCTTGATTCTGTTCAGATTCTCCAGCAAATGAGCAGCGAGTCTAAGGATCTCGTAACCGGTTCGTGCCCGGATAGACCCGGTGTAGACTAATGGGTCAGAGTATTTCGCCACGAGAGCTTCCGGGTCACGAGAAACCGCCCTTACTTTCTTTTTCGCAGCACTTAGCTGGTATCTTGGAATGAGGAACGAGAGGAAAGGCGCAATTACCTGTTCAAAAATGTTGTAATGTTTTCAACGAAAGTAAAAAAAAATGTGTGAAAACTATTCAGATTCTTGAGGTTTTCAGGTTTGAATTACGCCGAAGATTGGATGAGATGGTTGGACTCCAACTGCGGGTGAAGTTAACACAATCCCTGAAACTCGAGCTTCGATCTTTGGATCTAGCATAGCCTGCAAAAATGGTTTGTATATAGTCAACATTTGGTTTCAATAGCAAAAATGGTCTGTATACAGTCAACATATGGTTTCAAGAGCAATGATATATCAACCTTTAAGATGATGGCTCCTCCTGTTGAGTGACCAATGCAGAAACAGGGCAATCGCGGGTTTTCTGCGATTACCTTCTCAAGAAACGAGTTCTGCAACATGTTTTCAGAGATGTAACTGTTTAAGCAACGGTGTGGTTTATGAAAATGTTGAGTCTTGGAAACTTAAAAAGAGATTATACCAAATCAGTGACAGCATAATCAAGAGAAGGAACGTAAGCGTGAAGTCCATCGCTTCCACCATGACCTGTTCGACCAAGATAAAACTTTATTGAGAAACGTCTACACTGGTAAATGCTTAATACAAGCATAACTTGGAAATGGTATAGTGGTTTTACCGATCCAGTCTATTCCATAGACCTTGAATCCATTAACATTTAACTCCTTTGCAAAGTCACTATACCTGCCGCTGTTGAGCGTTTGAATAAAATCACGTTAGGCTGCCTATATGGAGGGAGAGTTTATGATCAAATCGAAAGCTACACAACAAACCTATGTTCGTTCAGACCATGTAGCAGAACAACAAGTCCCCTACAAGCAAGCTCACAGAAAGATATCAGCTTTAGGGCCTAAGAAACCAGACACGAAATAATAGAAGAGGACTATAAACAAGAGATTCAAGATACAGCAATACTGAAAAAATAGGTGACCTAGTCAGGAGATCTCGAAGATAAACATATTATATAAACACAGACGACTTGGTCAAGAGGGTTTTTTTTTATTGTATATAGTACGTTGATCTTCAAGATCTCTCCACTAGTAAGCAGAATCATCTTTAGAAGATTATCTCAGCTATTTGTTTGATCTTCTTCTCATGGATGTTAAAAGCTGTTCTCAAAAAACAAATCCAAGAAATGAAACTAATTAAAGCAACTCCATGAATCCGGACATCCTTAATCGTGTTAGTCTAAAAGCACTTATCTTATCACCCACCCTAAAGAACTAATGAAATCGAACTATCTAAGTAAGGCACCATCGAATCCAAGGTAGCAGTTAGGACCAGCTGAGAAAACGACATAAACATCCACGAAACGCCCCAAGAAAACGACTCATAGTGAAGCTCAAATCCTCGAGAACCACAAGTCTCGAGGCAGAGAGGGACCTCTTCTTGTTGCGTTTCTCAAAAATGGCCATAGCCTATAAGATATATTACTTGAATTCTTCATCTACTAAGTTTCCATAGAAACAATCCAATAATCAATAACAGACAAAGCAAAAATCTATAGGAGAATTGACCTGTTCTTAACGGAGCCAACACGTGTCCATGACTGAGTGAACAACGTGTCGCCTCTCTTGGTCGTGAAGAGCGAGAAATCTCTGACGGAGCTTCCATCGCCACCGTCATCCTCCAAAACCCGCCTCATTGCCAAACCCCGTCTAACAGCCACTTCCTCATCAACCACCGTCGTCGGCGTCGGCAAAGGCGAAACGCAGCAGCTTATGTTCCTCTTCCTCTTCTTCTGTTTGAGCTCTCGTATGGAGAAGACAGCACTGAGTCGATCGCTGGCTCCGGGTAACTGAACCAACGGAGAGTAATTTGATCTCACTACCATCGCGTCCACCGCCATTGATGATCGTCGACGAGCTCTAACATTGATCGGAAGATGATTTCGAATTTCGACGGGTAATCTGGGAAATGAGCATCCACTAGCTATTACGATCGTTCCTCCACTTGAGCAGATCATAAACAAAGAGAATCCAAAGACGATTTTTATCGCCTTCTCTGAATTTGGGGGAAGCAGAATCGAGAAGACTGTGAAGCAATTGAAGAGTACAAAATCTTTTTGAAGGAATGATTCGAGAGATTATAAACTTGATTTTTTCTTTTTCTTTTGTGTAGTTGGGGGGCTCTGAGATTTATGGATGTCCAGCGGAAAGGACGAGGAGAGTCTTCTACTTATGACACGTGGCACTTAACAATAATAAATTAACCGATTTTTGTTGCAAATTATTTTGCTAAAATTGGTATTCTTGTATTACAAACTTTGATAAGCAATATAGAGAAATCACTCCAGACTCAGAGTACTACAAACACAAGACAATGAAATGATATGAGGAGAAACGAGTCTGTGTCGTGTACTTTACAAATCCCAAAAACACAATTCTTCACAGATGAAGAAGATTGGAGATGTTGTCCACAATGTTCCACTGCCTTTTATCCGAAGGCACAGCGAAGTTGAGCTCAAACATCTCTTTAGAGATGTTGCCGCTTTCACAGAACCCAACAAGCTTCGCAACTATCTCTGCACTCTCTTGCACGTGCCTCGAGTCGTAAGGATCTGTCCATAGCTTGTTCACGAACTGTAGCTTCCTCTGTTTCCCTTCCAATGGCACGTCCCATTTCATATACAACTCCTCTCTCTCCTCAGGCGTCAGTCTCGAATTGATCCTTCTCGCCAAAAACTCTCTCTCCCTTCTCAATGCTCTTATACTGCATATAAACAACAGGTCGAATAAACATTACATTTCAGAAGAGTTTTGTGAAATTTACTTTTAATGTCAGAATTTTACTTACCTTGATGATAGAGATACAACTGCAGATTCATCGCAAGTTCGAGCTGGAGTTGCGTTACCTACTTCTGCTAGATGTTGTTCTAACCAGGTTAACCGTCTCAGCTCGACTTCCATGTAGATTTGATCGGCTTGATCACCTTTGAACAGTAGATAAAACTGTGTCCTGTGTATGATGGAGACGTGACAGACATGCCACAGCTCTATGATCTGCTGTCTTTCTTCTATGAAAGTTATATGCCACGCCACTTGACTCTGCTCTTCGTCTTCCACTATCGTGTTCTCCTCGTTCTCTACGCTGTATCCAGCTCCTTCGTTTGCTTCCAACTCAAGCACCTGACAGACGAGAAGTTGTTTCTGGTACTGTAGTTTAGCTACACGCTCTTTGAGTTCTGTTACGTAAGCTCTTATGCTTCTCACGTTCTCCTCTGCTGCGTTTTGGAACATTTGCTGCATTTTCTTCATGTTCACTGAGCTTGATCTCCTGTAGCCTGGAGTGCTTTCTCTTGACGAGACATCTCCGCTCTCTTCTCCTTTCTGTGGAGTCTCTTTCTCAGAACCTTGTGGTGTCGTTGCCCCTCTAGTTGCAGAACTGTTGTTCTCTTGTGGAGCTTTGTTCTCAGCGTCGCAATCCAAGACTTGCCTAGAAGCAGACAGAGGAGAGCACGGAGACTTCAAGAAATTCTGGCGGTTGGAAATGCTGCTTGGTGTCAAAGGAAGAAGCTTCTTCTTCTTTGACTGATGATGATGATTCTTCGCCTTTGGGGTTTCATCTCCAGCATTGATGTTGCTTGGAAGAGACATCACCAACTTATCTATTGACTTCTGAACGCTCTCAAGCTGCTCCTCTAGATTTGCAATAGTGCTTCCTTGTGAATGGAGCCTTGTTATCTCTTCCTTGAGGTTGGCACTTACACTCTTGTTTGGAGCTATCACATCTCCATTATCCAGAACATCTTTAAGCATTGCGGATGGTTTAACAGTACGCATTTCCCTTATCTCTGCTTGAAGCTTAGCAATCGTCTGAGCTGCATCTTGATTCCCTAGTCTGTGGCAAGCTACTTCCTTCTGTAGCACTTCAAGAGCTTTCGTTGCTTCCTCCCCTAACTGTTCTTGAAGGTGTTCAAGTTTTCGAATCTCATGCATCAGTGTGAATGGAGCTGTTGATGACTGGCGTATCATAGATTGGCGTAACGTAGTCTTTCTGGCTCTCTCGTTCCGGTTTAGCGATTTGTTCTCTGAGCTAGGTGTCACGGCAACAGAATAGGAAAGACATTTTCTGACCGGTGGGTCTGGAGATTCAAAAGGATTTAAGCCCTGAGATACACAAACAAAAGGTGTTAGCTTCAGCCAAAAGCTTGTCATTAATGATAACAAGGAAAGAAGAGAGAAGAAGACTTAAAGACCTTTTGTTGTTCCTCCCCTTGAAGCTTTTGGCGTAACTCTTCAAGTTGGGTCTGGGCATCATCTCTTTGTCTCCTAAGTTCTTCCATTTCCATTTCCATCTAAAATATTCATGAAACAGCAATAACTAAGCAACAAAAACTTTGCTTCACTATATAAACTTTTGATGTTAGGACAAAAGAACTGAAGTGGACAGAAACCTGCTGGATCTTGAAATCCTTTTCTCTTGATGGATCAGGGGTGCGACGCTCTGCCTCCAATCTAGCTACTTCTTTCTGAAGATGTTTCACTAGTTGCTTATCAGAGACAACCTGTAGTAGTTACAGTACCAGCAAGTAAATACTTTGTTTTTTTTCATCACTAAGAACAACCCAAAAGCATGAGACAAAGATCATTACCATGTTGACGTGGGCATTGTTTGTAACTTCCTTGGCTCGGTTGGCGAAGTAAAGAGTATTTCTTGATTGTTCAACATGAGTCAGAGCTGGACTCAATGTACATATAATTGCTGTTCGAGCATTTCCACCGAGTGAATGCTGTAATATCCGAGTAAGCTTGGAGTCTCTGTAAGGTATGTGGCCGCTTCTTTTCCCCACACTATAAAGAGTTCACAAATTTATTACTCAAAGTCTTTGTGATTTCAATGTCACTCTCACCATATATTTAAGAACCTTACCTTAGTTTCCTTATGACAGTTGTAAGGGTCATTAGACTTAGGTTGATATGGCAACCTTCCCTGAGTCTCGTCCCATCTGCCTGCGACTGTGACGCTCTTTCACTTCCTGCTAAGTCCACAAAGTTCTGAAATGCATTCACACCAAAGTTCTAGTTAAACATTTTGCAATAATAAAAAAGTGTTTTGACTCTCAAAACAGAGAAACTGAATAGAGAGAGATCTAAATTTACCAGACTAGCCATGTATGACCTCACACAATCTGAATTTTCACGGTGAGTACTTTGTATTGTCTGGTATGCCATCAAGAACTTGTTATTAGCACTTTGCAGGGTATATGTAATTTTGTTTCAGGGAAATAAGGAATCAAGAACATTACCAGTCTGATTATCTGGTGTGACCGTGAACTGGTATCATTCAAAGCAGTTTCTCCAACTTGTCTTTGAGCTAACACAATGGTGGCATCAAAAAGGGAATAAAGACCAGCAGTCAGAAAAGTTTGAACATGAATAATCTTTACATGAAACCAAATATGATGCAACAAGTTCAAGTCACCTTCACAAATGCTAATTAGATGCCGCAAGTGCTGATCGTTATTAGCTGTTTCCTCTACCAGTTTTTCAACCACAGTCCCTTTCTGCAATTGAGGATCATTAGGATATCAGATCAATGGAAGCTTACATTCAATCAAGGCCATGACATCAGCAAGAAAATGATTTCCTTATAATGTAAATAAGTGATACCTCAGGGTCATCGAGGAGTTTAAGGGCACGACCGGACTCTGAATTCAGCAGATCCCTGACATTTTCATTATATATTTCCAGACCAGAAATCTTGATAGTAAAGTCTCTTTCAGGAGTCTGTAAACAGAAGTGATACAAAAATATATATTGGTCAAAAGATCTGCATCAACATCTGAAACGCTGATTTGCAACTCTGATTATAGAAATGCTCAAATTCATACCTTGATTATGTGATTGTAAATATCATTGACAGCTTTCTCCGTTACTCCTCTCATGGTATATGTCTTACCACTGCTCGTTTGTCCATATGCAAATATTGTTGCTGAAACATTAAAAAGGATTAGTCATCTGTGATATCAATCCCAGTAAAACAGAGTTTACTAATCTAGTCATTGAGCATCTACCATTTATGCCCATCAAAGCAGAAAGTGCAACATTCTTAACACCATCTTCATACACATTTTCTGTGAAACTCTCTGGTCCAAACACTTTATCTGAAACAAAAGTTTGAAATTGGTTTTAGATTCCTCAGGAATGAATTAGTTAGAAACAGAACAAGAAGACAAATATCACTCAATTTACCGAAAGTAAATGAGGACTGGTGATGCGAACGGTCTTGAGCTTGTGGTTTAGCCACAATGGTGTGATCATCTACACATTCCCAAGCCACTTGGTCTTTAGCTACAAGTTCCTTCTTGTTCAGTGGCCTTAACCTTACGGTAACAACAATCTTCTCCTCCCTCGATCTTGAGCTTCCACCTGGTGTTACAGCTTGTGTTCTGTCTATCTTCGAAACTGGTGTTACAGCTTGTGTTCTGTCCATCTTCGAAACTGGAGTTCCAGGAGTTCTCATTGCCATCTCCCTACAAATGTTTCCACATTGTTTCATCAGATCTAATTTATCAAAGCTTAAAACTTTCCTCAAATGTAGTGATAATTTTTAATTTTCTGCAGAAACATTACCCAGATCTATGAAAAAACTCATATATGGTAACATTTAACAAAGGACATTCTAACGAATTCGATTTGAGCCAAACCTAATCCACAAAAGGTAAACTCATAAAAGGAAAATTTAGCTTCTTTAGATTTTTTTTCTTCCATTTCCGAATGTTAAAACTCGAAACTTCCCAAAAACTTCACTTGACTGAACAGATCAAACACTTACAGAGAAAATTGAACCAAGGAAATGGAGATCTTCTCTCAGATCCAGGCGGCGAGGAATGTAGAATCGTCTCAGATCGACGATAGAAACAATGTAAAATAAATAAAAGAATGTGAGCAAAAGGAGATAGTGAGAGAGAGGTTATCAAGTCTCGTGGTAGAAATGAAGAAGAAGATGAACGGATTTTGGGGCTCTTTTGTCTTTACGGAAGCGCGTGCAGAGACACATTTTGAATCTGAGGAACCCCCAACGGCTAGTCCCTTCCACGTTTCTTTTGCGGGGCTTTAATTTCTGTCTGATTTCGATTTCTCTCCTCACATTTTTAATTTCTACTTTCATTCATCCTTAAATTTAAATTTTCTCCATTTTTTTGTCAAATTTTATGTCTGGATATTTTTTGTCAACGGTTTTTATTTTTGGTCAGCCTGTAGATTATTATTCTGTCTTCTTACTTGGGAATATTACATACTTTTCTAGTGAATTCAGATGAAATTGGGCTATCGTTTCCACCGATTTTAATATCCACGATAATATTTTGTCGTATTGTGAATTATTGGCTTCTAACAAAACGGCTATCTATTATTTATTTATTTTCAACGCTTTCAAATTTTGTTTTATTTGCAGGATCAAGCGGTAAGTACCTATTACTATCCAATTTGGCGTATAAAATAGTAAACTACTTTTACATCCTCACCGGCCATCGCGCTCTAGACGGTGGAAATTCCCATTGCAGTTTGCGATTGCGGGTTTTGAAGTATGAAGTCAAGGTCTTCGCCTAAGATTTTTAAATATCTGCAAGTCTGGATATTTAATATTCTTTTTGTTGTTCAGCAACTTTAGTTGAAAAAATATGTAATTATTAGCAAATAACTCAAGATATGTAATGACTATTCCCCACATTCCTTGGTCAAGACTCAAAAGTTAAAATAACAAAGAAATCAGTTATTCCATGTGTGTTTATAGTGTATAGATGTCACTTTTTCCCTTAAATAAAAAATTGTTAATTGGATCATTACTCTTGCTTACTCCATCCCTTAAGTTGACATTTTTAGAAAACATCATAAAACAGTTCACTGAAGATATATATGCAACAACCAACATAGTAAAATGATTCCACCATTGTTCTAGTTACACTTATTTACAGCATAATTTTTTTTTTTACATATTTACACGATACATCCACCCAAGATGAAGACCAAACCATGTAATATAACTCGCACAAAATAATATATATTCAATTTTTCATTATAATCTACAATAAGCTAAATTTCTACTGAATTCTGATTTGAAGTTAAACTATATACTTTGTGTTAGAATTACAGTGAATTTCACTGAAACAGAAAACAATAATTAAGCAATGCTTGATTTTATTTTATTTTTTAAAATACAGTACTATCAATTGTGGATAAAAATAAGTCAAACGACCATTAACACATGTTCTTGAATCTCTGACCACTTAACATATAACAGCCATTTATTTATTTATTGATTGATATAATTGTCGTCGGAATGTAATCACTAGTTAATAGAAGTCATCATCACCGATCATTTGACCAATCTTCCATAAAATCCCCGAAGCCTTCTCTCGCAACCAACCAAAAAAGCTTTTATTTTGTCAAAACCCAATGTCCAGCTCTCTTCTCCTCATCGTCTCAATCTTCTTCTCCGTCGTTGGCTTACCGTCGTGCTTCTCCGTCGATCAACAGTACGAGGAGTGCCGATCACCTCCGACATGCGGATCTGGACCATCGTTGTTCCCGAACATCACTTACCCATTTTGGGGTGATAACATCGGCAAACCCAACTTCTGCGGCCAAAAAGAGTTCGAGCTTTCCTGTGAGGAGAACCAAAACCTAACCATAGAGATCAAAAATCTCACTCTTCGCATCGTTTCTGCGAATCTGAGTGATAAGACAATCACCGTAGCCGATGACAGTTTGGTCGAGGGTGGTTGTCCAAAGATTTGGGAATTCAACGGCGATGATCGGTTCGCATTAAGCCCTAAAACAGAGAAGATCGATCTATTCGATTGCCGCGGTAATCCCCGGCCAGCATCATCGCTGTCAACAATTTCTTGCCAAGAAAGCAACGAACCTCAGAGAAGATATCATGTCTTTGAATCGTCTAATCCTCCCCTAAATTGTACCAAGGCTGGAGAAATTCCGATGCTTGGCTCTGCTAAGAACGTTCTTCTCCAGTCGAATGGCTCGAATCAAGCTTTGAGGATAGCTTTGGGAAAAGGGTTCGAGTTGAGGTACAATATAGAAGATAAGTTTTGCCAGGATTGTACCGATTCCAGTGGGATTTGTGGTTCTGAGTCAAGGTCGGGAACTTTCCGGTGTCTGTGTTCAGACAAGCCTCACAAGTTATCCTGTAAGATTAACGACAAAGGTTAGTCCTCTACCGTTTAGATTCAAGGTCTACTTCTTTTTGTCCCAGTTTTTGTTTCCATTGCATATAAATCACTGCCAGTATTGCATACATTTTAGGTATGGTTTCATCAAATCGATTATGTACATAGTAGACGACTTCGGAACGTATTACTTTGACCAAAGGATAGAGAATTGTTATCGTGATTGACCAAAACGTTTAATAATCTTTTTTAAGACCCACTTGACTTTTTCAAAACTGGTTTTACGTGTCATGTTTCCATTTAACATTAAGCAGGATTTTTCCTAATTATTTGAGAGCCTTTCTTCTATCGATTTAAAAAAGACGTACAGTATGTAGGAGTACAGCTGGGTCGACTTTGATTATTATGGGTCTTTTTCTGAGACAGGCTGAATCAAAAGTCTTTGGTTCGTTATGGGCCGACGTTAATTATTATGGGCATTTCATTTCATTTTTTCATAGTCGGTTAAGAAAATTGGTAGGAATTTAATGAAGTCCCTATAATTTTCCTTGTGTTTAAGGTTTCTGCTTAGCAGACCGACCCTAACCGACCAGCTCTTTACAAAACAAAAACTAGTCAGTCTCTTTTACACGATTCCATTTCGATATGACTTTTCTGATTTCTAAAAAATAAACAATTAAGACTTTAGGAGCACTAAATTTCCCATCTGTAAAAACTATGGTAGGTCATCTTCAACCTCAGAGAGACAAATTAGAAAATTTCAGTTTTAAGTCAATCTGCAGTCTTTATTTTCTTCATTTAACAAAAGAAAATAACTTTTATACTCTTTGCACACACTGGCTGAACAAACTCCAACTCTCACCCACTCTTTTGAAAACCTTTTTAGTAAGCTTTTTTGTTCTCTTTCTCTCTCTCTCTTTTTTTTTGTTCTCTTCTTCTTGTTTCTTTATCTCATTCTCTTGTTTGCATCCTCAAATATCAAAATGATTCCTCCAAATTTCTGCTACACATCCCCTGACAAAATCTTCGTCACTTCCATCTTCCACTTCGTACTGTTAGCGACTCAAACCTTCTCTCTTGATCCAAAGTTTAAGGCCTGTGAGCCCAAATCATGTGGCAAAGGTCCCGAGATCTCCTTCCCATTCTATCTATCAGGCAAGCAAGAATCTTTTTGCGGCTATCCCAGTTTCGAGCTCAGTTGTAATGATCAACAAGAGCTCCCTGTTCTCGGGATCTCCGGTGAGGATTACGTCATCAAGAACATATCTTACTTGAATCGGTTGTTAGAGGTCGTGAACTCAAGGGTGTTTCGTGATCCATGTCCTAGCCCTATGCATAATCTTACCCTCGAGAGGACTCCTTTCTCTGTGAGCCCTTCTCAAACCAACTTCTCCATATTTTACAATTGCACGGACCACCGGCCAGATGATTTTCGGACATATCCTCTTTCTTGTCCTGACAACACGAGTCCTGGATCTTTTGGGATCTTCCACAAGGAGATTCTGGAAAAAGAGCAAGACTTTGCATCTAGGCCTTGCCAGAAACTGGTCAATGTTCCCGTTTCTTCAAGTGTGAACCGGCATATACCAATGACCTATACCGGGATTTTGAAGATGGGGTTTGTTCTGAATTGGACTGCACACAGTTGCTTCCGCTGCAACAGCAGTGGTGGGCGATGTGCAACTGTTGATAAGGAATTCGTTTGCTTATGTCCTGATGGACCTAACATTCATGATACTTGCAGGAATGGTAATAACTTGTGAATCCACGTGTAATTAATCTTCTGGCACATAATTTTTCTTCTTCTTTGCTTTAGTTTTGTCACTCAGTTTTAGTTAATTGATTAAACTCTCTGATCATGCATGCAGCATGCCTCAGTTTTTATGTTCTAACTAATGCCTGAATTTGAAATCTGCTGATTACAGTCGTCTTGATTTGTTCTTTTTTTTGCAGATGGTATCAACTGGAGGGTCAAGATTGCCATAGGTAGGAATCTTTCAAAGTTCTGTTTTGGTAAAAGGGTTCAAATCCTAGATTTTAACCTGTATTTGTGATCAATTGTCAACACTCTCATAGACTTTATTATGATTTATACTTTAAAAAAAAAAAAAAATGTTTACACTTTGCAAATGAAGGCCAAAACGTTTTGACCTAGACCCTGTTATTTATCTTTCTTTATCCTCTTTCGAGTCTTAGGGATTCTGTTCTGTCCAACGCAGGTGTTGTTGCAATATTCGTGGGATTAGCTATAGCGAGCATAGTTTGGTTTATCTACCATCGTAAAACAACAAAAATTTACAGAAATTCTTCAGCATTGCTTTCAAGAAACATCTCCTCAGATCCATCTTCAAAGTCTCCAGACATAGAGAAAGCAGAGGAATTGTTAGTCGGAGTTCGTCTCTTCTCTTACCAAGAGCTTGAAGAAGCCACTAACAACTTCGACCCGACTAAAGAACTCGGCGATGGAGGCTTTGGCACTGTCTACTACGGTAAGCTTAAAGATGGACGAAGCGTAGCTGTGAAACGGTTATACGACAACAACTTCAAAAGAGCAGAGCAATTCAGGAACGAAGTCGAGATCTTAACCGGTTTACGCCATCCAAACCTCGTGGCTCTCTTTGGTTGCTCCTCGAAACAGAGCCGTGACTTGCTGCTAGTGTACGAGTATGTTGCAAACGGCACGTTAGCTGATCATCTACATGGTCCTCAGGCTAACCCTAGCTTGCTTCCTTGGTCTACACGTCTCAAGATTGCTATTGAAACCGCCTCTGCTTTGACATATCTCCACGCCTCCAAGATCATCCACCGTGATGTTAAATCCAACAACATCCTTCTCGACCAGAACTTCAACGTCAAGGTAAGTAACTCAACACATATTTGAATGGTTTTGTGATCATAATCTTAACTTCTTTCGTGTTTTTGCTTGTTTTCGGTTTTACAATCAGGTTGCGGATTTCGGACTCTCGAGACTGTTCCCGATGGGTCAAACGCACGTATCAACGGCACCACAAGGAACTCCAGGCTACGTTGATCCAGATTACCACTTATGTTATCAGCTCTCAAACAAAAGCGATGTGTACAGCTTCGCTGTAGTGTTGATGGAGCTTATCTCCTCGCTTCCAGCTGTCGACATCACGAGACCGCGACAAGAGATCAACCTGTCGAACATGGCAATCCTTAAAATCCAGAACCATAAGCTCCACGAAATGTTGGATCCTTCGCTCGGGTTCGACACGGATACAAGAGTGACACAGACGGTGATCGCAGTCGCTGAGCTGGCCTTCCAGTGCTTGCAGTGTGATAAAGATCTTAGGCCGTGTATGTCGCACGTGGTGGAGACACTGACGAAGATACAGAACAATGGGTTTGGTTCGGAAATGGATGATGATGATTCAGATGTGAAGAAGGTTGGAGCTTTGCCAACGCAGTCTCCTGATTCTGTTATTATGAAATGGGACAGTAAGTAAATTAGTTGATACAAGGGCACTAACATTTGTGTGTGTTTATTAATGTTTAACATTGTTATTTAACAGTTAGAGATTGGTGTTTGTGATTTGTATTAGATGCTATTTTTGGGAATGTATATATGATCCGAGTTTCATAAATAAATAAATACTCTCCACATTTCATAGATGATAATGCATGTCTTTCAGTTTTTGTGATTCTGGAATTTAATAGTGTAAGCAAATATATGTGTTATGCCTTCACAATTAATGGCATCAAATTAACAATGATAATCAACTAGGGACGATCACAAACTATATATATTATGATTTTAAAGCCATTAGTTTTATCACCAAACTTTCCAAATTAAAGCACACCAATTTGGGGCATAGATGCTTTATTACTTCTATTATTGAACAAGTTAGTGAGTAAGTTGTCTTAAATGAACTTAATTGCATGCGAATCAAATTCTTCCACCATTACATTATTGATAATCTGTAGGAATGGCTCAACTAAATCTTGACCTTTGTTGCAACCTAACTCTTTCCTAGAAGTTAACGTACGTGTTTTGATCATGCAACGGACAAACTATATCAAGAGAAATCTCTAATATACCGATTAAAGCGAAATATTTTCTTCACTAAACATTTGATTTGGTAACCAAATTCTTTGCTTAACTATATAGATTTTCGTCAACTTGATTCTATATAAAGAGATAAGAACCCGCTTTATTTACTTATCACATAATTCCGACTTCTTAATACATATGTGTTCGTTTATCTCCATGTTCCACAAAATCACAATGGTTTTATTTTTGGTAATATATGCCGATATGCGTATAATATACAGACATAATTTAATTGCATTTTGTCGTTTTATTGGCATTAGCTAGCCATTTGGAAGCATAAGTTGGCAAATGGATGTGATCTTTTACCCCATAAACCCACATAAAAGTCCCTCCCTGCAAACATATTAATAAATGTTTCCATTAAAACAAGTTTTGATATCAACTTGGTTTGACTACATCCATTTCATTTTCTTTCGACAACATCAATAATAATTAATTTAAAGTTAAGACAACTATTTTTTAACCTTACACCAAACTATAATTAAATATATATGTTTTATTTAGTTCTTCCCCCTTGCTAAGAGTGGAGTTAATAGGACCCACGACCAAAACACTGGTCCCACTTCCTTTGTTTGGCTATAGCTCCCCGACACACAAATCCCAGAAGGTTCACTTGCCCACGTGGCCCTCCCTTTTTTTTATTTCCCCCACATTTCCTTTTCTCGATTATAAATTAAAATAACTCAAATCGATCAATATAAAAGCTTCAAGCTTCGTATCAAACACCAAGTCTCAAGAAACTCATACCTCAGCTCAAATGGCGAATTTCGAGAATCTATCTTCCGAATTTCAGACAATAGCCATGGATATATATTCTTCCATAGTTCAAGCTGCAGATATAAACAACAACAACAACAACAATAACCTTCATTTTCAAACATTTCCTCCTTTCTCCACTTCTCTCGACTCACTCTTCCTTCAACATCGTCATCAGCAACAATTGCTTGATCTTCACGGAAAGTCTCCAGACAGAGATGATAATATAAGTAATTTCTCCTCAACTTTCAACCATTCCAATCATATCAACGCCGAAGAGACCAAGAAGAGAAAAGCTTTGTTACAGACTTTGTCTTCATCGGAGAATAGTGGCGTCTCTGATAGTGTGAATGTTAATACCACCGAAACTGTAATTGATCTGGAAACCCTAATATTTCTTCTTCTTTTTTGACTATCAACTCTTTCTCTTTAATCACGTTAGTTTTGTTAATAAATTTAGGGTTCTTTGAGAAGAGGTAAGAGGTTGAAGAAGAAGAAAGAAGAAGGAGAAGAGAAAGAGAGAGAAGTTGTTCATGTGAGAGCCAGAAGAGGCCAAGCCACTGATAGCCACAGCTTAGCTGAACGGGTAAATTTTACTTAACTGTTCTTATTATTTCTATTAATTCATATAAAAGCGTGTTGTGTTTATTTATTATGTATATATCTATTTTGAAATTTCAGGTTCGGCGAGGGAAAATAAACGAGAGATTGAGATGTTTGCAAGATATGGTTCCCGGATGTTATAAGGTAATAAAAGAAAGGAACAAAATCCAAAGTAAACATATTTGTCAGTTTTTTACATTGAACATAAGTTTTGATGTTATTTCATATTGATGCAGAGTATGGGAATGGCTACGATGCTTGACGAGATAATAAATTATGTCCAGTCTCTACAAAATCAAGTCGAGGTACTTATAAAATTAAAATTGTGATATCTTCGAAAAACATATGTAAAATGATATTGAGCAATACGATATATTATTTAAGATACTCACTCATTTGTGTTTTTGTTTCATGTGGATTCAGTTTCTCTCGATGAAACTTACTGCAGCAAGCTCGTTTTATGACTTCAACTCAGAGACCGATGCTGTTGATTCCATGCAGGTAATAAGACATAAAATTATCAACAAAAATATGATTAGTGGTAGATGCTGTGATGGGTCCAATATGTTTCGATAGAATGCATATTTTACCATTAGCATATGGATACACACTATATTGACGATACACATGCGTTCACGTCATATATCATTACCAATCTAAGATTATGGATACCACAATTTTTTTGTTCATGAAAAGTCATTTCTAATGCGACGTTTTTAAAAACACAAAAGATCAACTCAATATAAGGTTTTAGTTTCGATCTTAATAGATTACATCATCATGTAAACTTACCTATAATTAAAATATGATGTATGACAAGCCTTTGCATAATGGATCGTAGATTGGTTTATGCAGTACCCCAATTATTTCATGATGTGATTAATTATTTGTATTAAATATTGAGTTTGTATGAATGGAATACAATTGGCAGAGAGCAAAGGCACGTGAGACAGTGGAAATGGGGAGACAAACAAGAGATGGGAGTCCTGTCTTCCATTTATCAACATGGTCCCTTTGACTTTTGTTTTCTCTTTTTCTCTTTTTTTCGAAATTATTCTTATATTTATTTGGATGCGATGTGTCATACGAGATTCGACCCAACTTGGGTTAGTATTTGTAATCTGTATACTTGTAATTTCGATATTAAAAATTTATTGGCGACTTATATTGGCTATTGTCGTGCAGATGTCTCGATTCTTCTCTTCTTTCTCTGTCTTGTTGTTGTTATTTTGTATAGATATAAAAGCTTATTTTGTTTTTTTGCGAGTAAATTACCCAAAGTTATAATAGCCCGAGTCATTTTAATCATTTCTATTAGATTTATCTTATTATGGAATATCACTATAGTCTGTTAACTAAATAATTAATTCAAGCCAGTGTTTCCTATGAAGATCGACTTCGCTTTCCCACAGAAAGTGGGATCAAATGGCTTCTTATGTAGAACTCGTTAACAAAGAAGATCGTTTGTTTTTGAATAATTTGTTTTATCAAAGGATGATTTAACAGAACATTTTTTTTCGAATGGAGATTTAACAGAACATTGCATATACACAAAGTATGGAAGTGGATTTCTAGATACTTATGATTGATAGCTTAAGAACTACATTAACAAACAAACAAAAAACTGATTCAGTCTTGAACATCATCAAGTGATTAGCAAAATTAGCTGAAATAAGTGAAGTTGGTTTACCATAAATTATTGTGACATTTTCATAATGGTATTGTTGATTTTTCTGCACATTACTAAATTTTGTTTTGTTTTTTTTAAATCACAAGGAAAAGTCTTTTTTTTTTTTTATTATTGTCACGTATCACAAATAAAAATAATAATTGAAAGAGGCATAGCTAGGTTTGACTAAAGTCAAACAATGAAATATAGGCATAGTGGCAGATACGATAAACTGGAAGAGCCCAAGTTGCAAGGTTTGGAAGGAGAAGGAATATGGAACGAAGAAGACAATTGTCGGAGTTAAATAACAAAAACACCCTTCACTTCTGTAGCTTTCCTAAGACAATGATGTGTGTCACCCAAACCAAACACAGAGACAAAATAGTAAATTGTGATGCGAAGCCAATGGACGTGTTTTGCAGACTAACAACCAATTTTTGAAGACTTTTGTGGTCTTATTTATCCATTTCTCTTCTATTCATTTGTTCATTTATCTCTTTTTCTTTTAATTCCAACAGAGACGGATCACAGAATCTGATGGATGTTGCCTATTCATAATCTTCATGATTGACATGAACAATTCATATATTTCCTATATGTAAAGAAATTGAGAATACAATACACTTGTGTCCCTCTGTTGTTCTTTATGTTTCTTTACTTTTATATATTAAAAAAAATGACATATGGGACATTTCTCATTCCATATGGCAGGTCGTATCTGACTATAGACGACATAAATTGTTGTTGGAACTTTAATACATAATATGTATATATATATGCTTTAATATGTTATACGGTTCTTAGTTGGAATATGGAATTATGGACGTTGGGGAAGAGACTAACGTAACATGTTTAGACCTAAAACCTTTCTTTTTGTTGTTGTTTTTAAAATGTTTATAATTCTAATCGGGTAAATTAGTACTCCAACGTACGTTCAGGTAAAGAGAACTTCGAACTAAAAATGATGTAGAAGAAGTAGCTTAGGACTTAACATATGAATTGCTAATGCGTACTAATTAATAACCACTTGGAGAACTTAAAAAAAAAAAAGATGCCATGCATCCAAGGAATGGGTAAAGACAGCTTGAAATGGATCAATCGTTGAAGAATGATCAATGTGTGGTTTTATGTTTGCTTTCTCGTTCTTTTTTAAAGAATAAATCAAACATACTATAATTTTGAAAAGACTCGTTTTCATAATTGAAAATCTTACCAAAATAGGTGTAGCTTCAATTCGAAAATGTTTGTTAGTGTTGTGAAAATACTAACAAATAGTGAGATAAGATTCGATTGGTCAATTTGTTTGGAAATTTAGCTCACTACATTGTGGCCCCTATTTCTTGTATTTGCCTATTTGGTGATCTAAAGCTATATCTTCTTTGTCTCCTATGAGGCCAATGATCTATTTGTTTTTTTCCTCCTTTGAAATATATATTTGTGCAATGGGCAAGAAAGCTAACTGTCAGAGAGTGTCTATCCACCATTATAATCACTATCATCTTAAAACGCAGTGATATATATGTTTCTGCATGTTTAATTTAGTTTTAGTTTTCCCCGAGGATTATATACAAAATGGTTAAAAGCTTCAGTTGTTCATGCGCTCTAATCAAACAAAACCTTAACTGATATTTTTTTCTTTTCAAAGTACTAGTCAATGGTTCTGTTGCTATCTTACGATAAAAGAAAACAGCATATCATAGTTCATGATCGTCATATATTTCTATATTTTGTTAGATGCTGAAGAAGACAGGATTGGGGGTTTACAATAACTAATGAAAATATTGGGGCCCAAAAATATTCCAAAAATAGATTTGGCGATCACATCATTTGGTGAGACAGAACAAAAACTGGGCTAAATTCAAGCATCGCAATTTGCAAATAACACTGTGGGGACTACTCACCGATATGGAGCTTTGTTACTTGTTACATTAGCTTCTCAAATCTCAGTCCCAGAAGTTCATCATGGGTCATAATATTACGATGAAACATTACATAACTGTCAAAAATGTAAATATATCGTGAGTATAATAAGATTCGTATATTTACAAATCTGTACACAATTAATTAAAGTAAATTACAAAATTAAGTCCCAACTGAATCTATCGGAAGAAACCAAATTTTCTTCATAAAAGTTAAAAAGAGGCTAGGGATAAAAGAGTCTTTTTACGACCACCGTTTCGATGACTTGAGGCTGAGCAAATTGGAAGCACTCCCCGTCTTCTTCATGCCTTGAGACACAAGCAATATCGTGAGAACCAATACTAAAGAATAAAACCATCGCTTCAATTTTTAATTCTATAAGTTTTGGTTTCTTACTTGGTGACCCCAAGCTTGACGTAGCCTTTGCAACGTTCGTTGCTCTCGTAGCGACTTGCTTGAGTTTATCAAGTGGCCGTGCTGTCGTCGTAGTACCTCTTGGAGTCACCGGTGTCGTCGTAGTACCTCTTGGAGCCACCGGCTTAATTCTGCAATTTTAGGATTCACCAATTATAACTTTCAGTTGCAATTAGTTTTAGTTTCATTTTGAAGCAAGATAGCGAAAAACAAAAGAAGTGTTACTTGTCTAAATTCTTCAATGGTTTTCTCACTTCAGTTGCACGAGCAACATCGATGGATCCTTCTGTTTCATTATCGAACTCTGCATCAGTGGAGGAAGCTAAGGTCTCTCCATCTGTGACAGATTGTCGTGACTGCCTGAGATAATCTTGTTGGAATCTTGAGTCTACTTCTATAGACAACTGCGAATCTCCAGCTTCTGAGTTAAACTCATCGGATTGTCCTAAGCTCTTTCTCTGCAGTCTTTGTGGGTTATTAATGTCCTTAAGCAAATGAAGCCGCTCTATCTCATCGTCTTTCCTCGCTATTGTGTCCTTAAGGGACCCTAACTGCAAATCGGAATCTATATAAGAGAAGACTCATGAGATATTGTGAGAGTGTGTTTTAGTTTATTTTTTACCTGCTCCATTAATTCTCTAACATCTCTACCATCTTTACTGCTCTTTGCAGCACCTAACTCAACTCCAGAGACACGTTCTGCGAATTTCAGAGTACTCATTGACTCTGAATATGAAGTTATATCAGGATTGAGTTGCACAAACATCAGTGTCTTTGCTCGTCCTCCTGCGATGATGTTAGCACATAAAGAGAAGTTAGCTAATCTCGGTTCATATTCATAATGTAAAAACAGAGCAGCAAGTGTTGAGTTTAACCTAGAGAGCTTTGGAGAAGCTGAGTTAGTTTGCTGTTTCTATATGGAACATGAGAGCTCTTTGAAGCGAGAGAGAATATCACATCTCCTAGAGATGAGAGTGACTTGTTTATATGTTGTGCTTCTTTAAGCCTGTCTCCTGTAACTTCAGACCGATCAACTCTCTCACTACCCGCCAGATCCACCAAATGTAGATTGCCATACAACGCAGAACCGGTCTTCAAGTCCTTGCCGCGAACATGAACAGTCACAATACTGCATAATGAATCATCTATCCAAGTTAGCCTGGTAGAGACCTAATTAACCAGAGAATGGACAAAAGACAAACAAATTTTTGTTTCATAGATCAGCAAGAAAACCTGTGAGAGCGACTACTTCTTTCGTTCAAGGCAGTGGAGCTAACGGTGCGGTTCTGTAGCCCTATGTTCATCAATTCAAGAACATCCGAGGTCGATGTCACAGGATACATGCTTGCATCAGGTACAGCAAGACCGTTTTCTTGAGCTGTAGAAAGAATCCCTAATGTTTGAAAGTCAAGGAGAACAAAAGGATTGGCAACACAAAACGGTGACATAACATAAAGCAATACAGAGGAACAGGTTTTGAAAGAGCAGAAAAAGGATATTTCTTTTGAGAAGTGTCGTCAGAGAGTAAATCACGGACTTGCTCGTTGTATATCTCCACCATCTGCACACCGACTTCATATAATATGCTGGTTTTTCGGGACTGAGAGATTTTGAAGAGGTCATTGAGAGCTCGATAGTTTACTCCCCAATCTTTTTCACTTGCATTATCTGGACCAGTCTGAAACAAAACAATACTATGATGGTAAGAATGTAAACAACATCATTCATTTGGAAAAGAATAGAGAATGAATACCATTGTGTAAGTTTTCCCTGATCCTGTCTGACCATACGCAAATATACAAACATTGTACCCATCAAGAACTGATCGAACAAGAGGTTTTATATCCGAAAATACCTCAGCTGCAAGAATCAAAAAGATATAGAGAAACTGAGATCTGTATTAAAAAGTTTTGATAAGTATTAACAGGTAGGTCTCTTGATTATGAACACCGATCATACCTTGAGTAGAAGCTGGACTGTAGACTTTATTGAACCTAAATTTGCGAAGACCATCTTTTCCAGGTTTTGTAGGATTGAGAACAACCAACTCTCCATGCTCACCAATGTGTTCTACCACAGTGTTTGATTCACCTTGCCCACGCAAGAAAGGCCTCACACGACAATACACTCTAATGTTTCCTGCAAGCCAATAACTAGAGAACTTATAGGTTGCGTAGAAAATCAAAATTAAAAAAATCTTGAATAGTAAAGAAAACATCAATATACACTGTATTATACAAATTCCAAATTACCTTTTAGCTCCTGAAGTTCATTGAAGAGTTTTTGGTTTTCAGTTAGGACCTCGTGATAGTTTGCAGCAGCATCTCCAAGTTCAAGCACTTTCTTCCCTGAGAATAAAGTTTTTTTTTTTTTTTTTTTTTTTTTTGTTGACAAATACCATCAAACTTAGAAAGTCACAAATATATCACATTCTGTTAATATAAAAATGCATGAGGCCGAACCTACTCACCTATTTGTCTAAACTCTTCTCTATACTTATCTTGAACTTTTAGTATTTCTTGTTTGATGGACTTTGAATAGGATCTCAATTCCTGCAAAAGATTAGCAGTTTTAGGTGATTACAAGCAAATACGATTGATTCTAGTCAATGGTATATGTAAACAAACATACTTGTAGTGCCTTCAACTGCAAACTGATAAAGCTTCTAAACAAAACTTCTTTCTGACTCGAACTCTGATTCGTCAATTCTGATTTTTCTTCCATTTCTTTGGCTTTACTCATCCATTGGACCAGATTTTGTTCAAGCTCATGGTTTTTTGCTTCAAGGCTTGTAGTAACAATTCTAGTCTCCTTTTTAAATTGTTCAAGCTCCTTCACCTTTTCCTCGAGACTCGTTTTAGCAGCATTTGCTTCTTTCCCCATCTTCTCAAGCTCTCGATTTTTTCCTTCAAGGCTTGTATTAACAGATATTGTCTCTATTTTGAACTGTTGAAGCTCCTTCACCTTTTCTTCAAGGGTCGCTTTAGCAGCATTTGCTTCTTTCCCCATCTTTTCAAGCTCTCGATTTTTTGCTTCAAGGCTTGTATTAAGAGTCATCGTCTCTTTTTTAAACTGTTGAAGCTCCTTCACCTTTTCTTCAAGAGTCGTTTTAACAGCATCTGCTTCTTTTCCAATCTTTTCAAGCTCCTTAACCCTTTCCTCAAGGGCAACTTTCGCAACGCTTGCAACTTTTCTCATTTGTTCAAGCTCCTTCACTCTGTCCTCGATACCTTCTGTAGCAACCTTTGTATGGCTTTCCATTTGCAAGCATTGTTGTTCATATGCTTTCTTGGTTGTCTCCAGTTCTCGCCTTAAAGTAGAAATTTCAAGATTATGTTCACCATTTTCTTTCTCTAGCTTAACAATACTCTCCTCTTTGTTATTCTTCTTTTCTTCCAGCTTGGACTTTTCTGTCTATCATGGACATATCAAGCAAATAAACATCTCCCACTTGCAGTAGGCAGTTTTACAAGATTCAAAAAGCATTACCTTTATCCGTCGAAGTTGTTTCGTTGCAATCTGGTGAAATATATAAGTTGATCAGCAGAGTAAACATAAGTGAACTTCATGAAACAATTATCTCAGGGGTCTAAGTTCTTTATCATACCTCATTTTCTTCACTAGTTCCTGAAGCTAAGGTTTCAAGAACTTTGATCCTTGACTGGTACTTCTCCTCACGAGCTTTAAACACATTGTTTTGCTGCACAAAGAAATATCAGAAGTCCAAAAAAAAAATTTGAACACAATTTACTATATCTCCAAGGAAACAAAACTACCGTTCTTAGATGCTCAGATTGAGTTGAAATACGCCGCTCGATTTCCTGCACGACTTTTCTAAGCAGACATGCTACACGCTGATCATTATAGATTAGGTCAGAAGATTTCACAAGAGGTATGATACAGATATGTTAATGCATTTGATTTTGCAGAAAACATTTTAAAGTATACCAAGATATGTTAGACTAATGTACCTGAGGGATTTCACCATTCTTTCTCTCAATACTTTCATCAAGAATACCATTCACAATACTCAGAAGTGACAACGTGGGAGCATTCTGCAATCAATAGAAGCATAAGGCAGTATCATTGTAAATACAGAGAGAAGAAAAGCAGAGCTTATAATATGCAGAAGATTCATCAATAAGGTAAAAAAAAAGGCTTAAGCAATACATCTAAATTATTTGATTTCATCATTTCCGAAATCTTAGCGGCTTGGAGATCAAGACGCCCCTGTTTCATTTGGAAAGCCTCGTGGAACTTGTGCCCTCCATGGAGCATTGATCCAGGTGATAATGGATCTGTGGTAGAAAACAAAACCATTTTTTTCGAAATGAATCTCAATACGTCAAATGAAATAACAGTGTAAACAGGCATTTTCTATAACAAAAATGTACCAATTGCGGAGGAACTGGGGTGTGGACGCTGGAATTTGGAATCCGCAAGACCTTTGTGCCTTTCATAAGCAGAAGATGGAGAGAAGGGACTACGTGGAGTGGAACCTCCATTAGAGCTGCCTGATTGATCAGTGAGAGAATTCATCACTTATGGAAACACTTGATAAAGCCACAACAACTCCTTCATTCTCTATCAACAACGCCTGAAAACACCATTGCTATTATCAATACCATCAAGTAATATAATATCATTATACATGTAACTAATCACCAGGCTCGCATTGCAATTAAGATATATTGAGACCCTCCTATAAGTTTGTTTAACCGAAAATGCAGCCTTAATGCAACTGAGAAATCATATAAGAGAACTTCTAAAAATGAGTTTTAGTATTCTAATCGCAGCTCTGTTCGTTTTCAGTAATTTAATTTGGGTTAATTCTGATTTCCAGTAAAACCGAATGCAGAAGCATGATTGATCTAAAGCAAATAAACTCGGATCTCTACCTAACAAATCTCCAGGCGAAATGCGATCAAAATCAAACAATGTAGCTACCAGTTCCCAGCTTTCGACAATGACAATAAGAAGAAAATAGCTGTAGAGACGAACCTACCTGGAGAGGAACAGAAAATTCCTTTGGTGCAACAAGAGAAGAACGGCATTGGGATAAACTAAGTCAAAACACAGTACAAAATCACGATCAGAAAATCGGATCATGGAAGAGAAACAATGGGGGAAATTTTTCTATCGCCTAACCTGGGGAGATCGGAGGAGATTTTCTCGGGAAAACGAGCTCGGAAGAGGTCCAACCTGCGAGAAAACACAGAGACGGAGAAGGAGACGTGGATTAGTCACACGTCAAAGAGTTTCCGACTTTTTTTTTTTTATTTTTTGCTGTAGCGCGAATGTAGGAAGAAGCGCGAGTATCCCTGTTACTCCAATCGTTTATCCACCGGGTCGGGTCAGGTCGGATCAGGTCGGGTTTTAATTTAACTTTGGAGTTTTACCTTTAGCCCCTCCTCTGTTTTTGTGTATTACAATTATTCCCAATGTTTTTATTTATCACAGAGATGTACCTAAAGTTTAGTTTTCAACATTTAACCTCTTTTTGTTTTGTTTATTGTATCCTATAAAATTGATTGATTGGTTTTCTTAACATTGTAGTGTATAAAACTAAATGAGTCTGAATTTCTTAACAGTCTTATACATGTAATATGATTCTGACTTGTATTTAAAGATTTTACCACATTTAATAATGAATAAGATTGTTTTCCTTTTCCTTGGCTTACTTAAACTTTATAATTAGTTACTATGTTAATTTAGCTCGTTTTCCTTTTCATTGGCTTACTTAAATTTTATAATTAGTTTCTATGTTTAGCTCAATTTCCTTTTCTTTAGCTCCCTTAATGGGACTCATTTCTTTTTGTTTTGTTTTGTTTGCTGTAGAAAAGAAAGCGTTGATCGTTTGTTGCTGCGTTGCTCTCTCGCAAACTTGCTCATAACTCCTCGGGGTAAGCTTCTTCGATATTCACCTCGTTGATCAATACTTGTTTGTGCTTTCGTTTTCTATAACGCAAGTTTTGTTCTCTTGTTAAGGTTACCACCGATCCAAAACTTTCAGAGACTTATTATAAACCCTAATTCAACAAGGACCACAATCGCACACTCTCAAGAACCGACACCGAGTTTTTACTTATACGTAAGGTAGTTATCAAAAGTCCTTTTCTTTTCTGATAGAATTTTATTCATCTTGTTCAGGGACCGAGAATTTGCGCCATGATGTCTCTTAGAAACGTTCTGCCTCCGGCAAAACAACCAACCCCTACGTCAACGTTTTATGATCACTCAAACGATCTGCAACGTTTCATTGAGCCTGAGTCTAAAATATTCTCTGATAACTCAGTACCTATTTACCTGAAGCGACAAAGTTTTCGTCCTAGGAAACCTGAGGATTTTGGAGACGGTGGTGCGTTCCCAGAGATTCATGTTTCTCAGTGTCCTCTTGGAATGGGTAGCGTTGGAACCAATAAGCATGGATCCAAGATACTGCCTGTTTCTGTGGATGCACATGGAAACCTTGTCTTTGACGGCATTGTGAGGCAGAATGAGAACTCGAAAAAGATTGTTTACTCTCAACATAGTGATCTCATTCCGAAGACACTGAAAAACGAGGGAGATCACGTTGATGAGGATGATGACTTGGAGAAGAAGACAACCGAAGAAACAAAAGCTGCCTTTGAAAAGATTGTGAATGCATCACAGCCTAACAATGTAGTGAAGCAATCAGGTGACTCAAAGATTATTAAATATAAGCCATCACAGCAATCTTCTTCATCATTCAATTCCGGTGCTAAAGAGAGGATCGTTAGGGTTTCAGAGATGCCTACAGATCCACTTGATCCACCAAGGTTTAAGCACAAGCGGGTTCCAGTGGCTTCTGGTTCTGAAAACCCTGTTCCTGTCATGCATTCACCGCCTAGGGCTGTTACTGTCAAGGAGCTACAAGACTGGAAAATCCCACCTTGTGTTTCCGACTGAAAAAACCAGAAAGGTTACACGATCCCTCTTGATAAACGTCTTGCAGCTGATGGAAGAGCCTTGCAAGAGGCTCAGGTCAATGATAAGTTCGCCAAGTTATCAGAGTCGCTTTATGTAGCTGAGCAGATAAGTAGAGAGGCTGTTTCGATGCGGTCAAAGATTCAAAGCGAGATGGTGATGAAGGAGAAGGAAAGAAAAGAGCAGGAGTTGAGAGATCTTGCCCTAAAGGCTCGTTCTGAAAGAACTAGTACTGCTGCGAGTGAAAGTGGGATTGAGAGGGAGAAGATTCGAGAAGAGCGTCGCAGGGAGAGAGAGAGAGGGAGAGAAGGTTGGAAGGTAAAGATGCATCCATGGGTAAGAAGAGCAAGATCACAAGGGACAGAGACCGTGACGTGAGTGAGAAGGTTGCTCTTGGGATGGCGTTTACTGGAGGAAGAGGCGGTGAAGTTATGTATGATCAAAGATTGTTTAACCAGGAGAAAGGAATGGGTTCAGGTTTTGAAACTGATGACCAATACAACGTGTATGACAAAGGCTTGTTTGCTGCACAAGCTACTCTTTCGACTCTGTACCGACCAAAGAAGGATATGGATCATGAAACCTATGGAGATGGAGACGAACAGCTCAAGAACACTAGGAAGTTCAAACCAGACAAAGCTTTCACGGGTGATTCAGAGAGGGTGAGAAAGAGAGACAGACCTGTTGAGTTTGAGAAGGAAAGTGAGGAAGAAGATGTCTTCGGTCTCAACTGGATGTTAGATTTGGAGAAGAGTAAGAAAGCAGCTGAAGTCTAAACTGATTTTTTTCAGCAACTGATTTTCATAGCTTTGTTTATCAGTGATGTTCCATGAACTTTGATATTCTGGCTTTTATGTCCTTCCATAACTATTTTATATTTTTTAGTCCCTAACTTTGTGGTTTTATATTTAGTCCCTTTTTGGCTAGAGTTGACTTGCAGGTTAGTTGTGAGATGGTGGACGAGATTAATCCATCCATGAACAGCGAACACCGTTTACCGTTATTTTCAAGGCCTTATTTGGGTAATCTTTATTTTTTTCAGTCTCTTTCTTCTCTCTAAAATGGGTCCATACTTTAATGGTTTTTTTTCTCAAAGTGTGAATCATTTAATGTTTTTTTTTGTACTTGTCTCTCAGTGTTAAATGGTTGATGAAGAACGTCACAAGTAACCTGTAAAACTTCTGGTTAAAACTGCTACTTGCTAGAATTGTTTAAAAGGTAGGACAAGTTATTTTCCTTTTACAAAGGCAAGTACTTGTGGTGTATACTTTACCAAACAAGACTAACAAATTCAAAGGCACTTATAAGAGACAGTTGTTTCATTGCTCTGTTTTCGTTTCAAGTAGCATTACAACAAGGTAACTCGCCAGTCTCTGGAAAAAGTAGTTGTTTTGAATTCTAAGAGGATAAGAGGAAAGCAAAAAGAGGAGAGTGTAACTAGACATATAGATTCATACGAGGAGTGTTCCGGTTAGAGTCGTTGCGATCACAAAGATTGTCAGCTGAATCTTAGACTTCGGACCAGAGGATCTCAGACCAAAACCCAATCCCATCATGCTGTTTGGTTTTGGTGCCACTTGAGCCACTGGGGTCACTGAAAAGAAAAACAGAGCATCTTTAGTTAACAAACGAAGTTTTTCTTTTGGCTATAACATGATCCAGTTTAGCTTAGTCATGAAATATAAAGATTGTCTTACCTGCAACACCGGAATTGTTCTTTGCACCGAGAGAGATTTGAGAACCGGTTGAGTTAGTAGATGGTGGAGAGACCGAGGAAGCCCCTTTCAACAAGAAAAAAAATGTTCATATAAGTTTTTTCCAAAATTTAGTTTTGTTTGTGTGTGAAAGAAGCTAATGAAGGATTTACATACCTGAGGAGGAGCAAACAGATGAATTGGCTGGAACGCTACAAAGCTGAGGCAATTGCAGAGCGAGGGTTTGATTGATGGGAAAAGCAGAGGATAAAGTAGAATTGTTGTTGAGGAAGAGACAGAGACAGGTTGGTTGTTGGCTGTAAATTTGATTCAGGCTGTTGCAGCATGGCTGAGCCGGGAACTGGACAAATCCCTGCACGTATGGACCACACGGAGCCAAGCCTAGCAACAAGGAAGCACAAGAAGCTGGAGGAGTCTGGCCTTGAGCGAGACCTGGTTGGTGAAAGATTGGAGCCAAGGAGATTAAGACAGTGAATAAGATACCTGAAGATGTCATTTCTGTGTATTGTGTGTCTTGATAATTAATTGGAAAATAAGTTTCTTTTTCTTTCTTTGTAACAATGGAGATTGTTAGGGTTTATAGAAGAATGTATATATTTAAGGTGGGATTCAATGGATTCCATATGAAACGGAAAAAATGAAAATTTTATCTACCATGCACAATATGTGTGTTCTGCTGTGCAAAACATGAAATTATTCATGTTGTGTCTTGTTAATCTTTACTGTTATAAATTTGACCATTTTATGTTGACCAAAAAATAAAAATTATTGACTGTTTATTTTTGGTATTAGAATAAAATATTGTTGAGATTATGTGTGGATAATATTAATCTGTTCGTAGACACGAAAACGTGCTCGAAGACGTGCATAGCAAACATACAAGATTTGCATATCATCTCATTACAAAATCGAACCTGGGTTTTTATTCATGATGACACCATCGTGTATTTGATACAAATCATGTGTGTTCTTCCTCTTTAAAACAACAATGCACAAGCCATAGAATCTCTTCTTCATAGTTTTTCCCCGTCTCTGTTGACACCTCTCTCTCTCTCTTGTTCGATCATCAGAATCAAGAACCAGAAATGGCAGCACCTAGGCTGGAATCTTTCAGGCGGGGTAGCATGTTCGACGGATCTTTCAGGCGAGGTAGCATGTTCGATGGATCGTTTAGACAAAGCTTAAGAGATAGGCTTATCCCACCACAGAACAGAGGCTACTCTTACGTCATTGACGTTGACGACAAACCTCCCGTCAATTGCTGCTCCTACAGGTTATACACATTTACACACAATCTCTCCTTCTTTCAAATCTCTTTTATCGAATCTGATGCATCTTGGAATCCAATCTCAAATGGTTAGTCTTACCGAATGCTATGCGTTTTGTTCGCAGGTACTTCCTCGACAAGATCACTGGGTTTGTAAAGAAATCACAGGATGTTTTGGCTACGGCGTGGGAGATGGGAACGTCTGACCCGAGAAAGATCATATTCTCGGCGAAGATGGGTTTGGCTCTGACACTCGCCTCCATTCTCATCTTCTTTAAGCTCCCAGGATCAGACCTCAGCAGCCACTATCTCTGGGCCATTCTCACAATAGTTGTTATCTTCGAGTTCAGTATAGGTAAATGCAACAGTAGTATTAACACATCAAACTTGAACGTTCTAAAGCATTTCAAAACCTCATGTGTGAGCCTTTCTTGTTTTGTGCAGGAGCCACCTTTAGCAAAGGATGTAACCGAGGAATAGGAACATTATCTGCTGGAGGATTGGCGCTTGTCATGGCTGAAATATCTGCAATGACTGGAAACTGGGCAGAGGTTTTCAATGCTGTTAGCATCTTCGTCGTAGGTACATATTTATAGATCATCTGGTTACCTTGGAATCTCATTCTGATTTCTGACAATATTGTGTGCCTGACTGCTCTTGTATCAGCCTTCTTTGGGACTTACGCGAAGCTATATCCAACGATGAAGCCGTATGAGTACGGGTTCCGGGTGTTCTTGCTGACCTATTGCTACGTGATAGTGTCGGGATACAGAACAGGGGAATTCATGGAAACAGCTGTGTCAAGGTTCCTTATGATCGCACTCGGTGCCTGCATTGGCCTCACTGTCAACACTTGCATTTATCCCATATGGGCTGGGGATGATCTCCATAACTTGGTCGCCAAGAACTTTGTCAATGTCGCCACTTCTTTAGAAGGTTTGTTACTCTCTCTCAAAGCTTAGTCTGTTTCTTGTCAATTCCAATCAGTACAAAATGTTGCTTGTGCAGGATGTGTGAAGGGATATCTGGATTGCGTAGCATATGACACGATCCCATCGAGGATTCTGGTCTATGAAGCTGTCACGGACGATCCAGTGTACAGTGGTTACAGATCAGCCGTTCAATCTACAAGCCAAGAAGACACTTTGGTAAGGACTCTCTTTCCACTCAATATCAACAACATTATCAAAAGACCATCTCTCACATATTATCTCTTTCTTCCTGTGGTGTGATTGTGATGAAGATGGGGTTTGCTGCATGGGAGCCACCACACGGTCCATACAGATCCTTTAGATATCCATGGAATATGTATGTGAAAGTAGGTGGCGCCTTGAGGCATTGTGCTTTCATGGTCATGGCCTTACATGGCTGCATCCTCTCTGAGATCCAGGTACATTCTTAAATCAAAACCCACAAATCTTCGGATCTCAAAGAGATTGAAGTATGAATTTGCAATGCAGGCTGCAGAGGATAAAAGACAAGAATTCCGAAACGAGCTACAAAGGGTGGGAGTAGAAGGAGCGAAAGTGCTCAGATACATTGGGGAGAAACTGAAGAAGATGGAGAGGATAAGCCCAACAGAGAACATTCTCAACGAGATTCACCAAGCAGCCGAGGAGCTTCAGAGCAAAATCGACAAGAAATCGTACCTCCTCGTGAACGCCAACAACTGGGAAATCGGGAATCAGTCCAGGGGTTTGAGTGACGAGTACAAAATCTCGAATCTCGACGGGGATCTAAGCCGGATCCTGTCTCATAAATCCCAGAGCGAGGCCATCCTTCGTCCGCCCACGAATTGGGATGCTGTATCTACTTCTAAGAGCCCGAGCTCGGCGGCGGCGATACAGCAGCAATCGAGGACGGTGATACAGAAACAGCCGTCGTGGCCTAGCCGGGTCTCTCTGACGCCGGGGAGTATGTTGCAGCCACAGGAGGAGATGTACGAGAGCGCGAGTGCTCTGTCTCTAGCTACGTTCGCTTCGCTGCTGATAGAATTCGTCGCTAGGCTTGAGAATCTCGTTCATGCTTACGATGACCTGAGTGCTAAAGCCAATTTCAAAGAGGCTGTTTCTAAGTGAGTAAGACAACAAAACGGCGAGTGTGTTCGTCGTACTGGAAACTTGATAAAATAAAATACAAATAGTTTTTGTTAAAATTTGAATTTCATATCAACAAAAGTCGTTGTAGTATAGTGGTAAGTATTCCCGCCTGTCACGCGGGTGACCCGGGTTCGATCCCCGGCAACGGCGTTTTCTTTTTTGTTTTGTGCTATTTTCATATTCGTCCCCTATCTTTAGGATCTTTTTGATTTTGCCCCCTGCATTTTTCTTTCCTTTTTAGTTTTTTCGGTTGACACTTGACACCGAGAGAACAAATCAAAATCCAATCCAATTGGGGATAAACTAAACCCTAAGAAAAATGAAAGCTGCTGCTTTTCCCTCTAAAATCGCAAACCTCAGCTTCCCTCCTGGACGCTGCCCACTATTCTTCCGATCACCGGCCGCGTTTTTGTCGCCGGCATTGTCTTCCTCGATATCAACTCCTTATCGGAAGCTGACAAGAGGAAGAAGGGGCATTGAAGGCTTCATGTCTCAGTCGTCATCGTCTCAATCACTTTCATCTTTATCGACTTCGTTCTCCTCTCAATCGGAATCAGAGTTACTTCAGGCTCAGTCACCTTCTCTGAAGCCAAAACCTCCGCCGCAACAGTTCCCATGGCTCATAGTCGGTTTGGGTAATCCCGGAAAAAAGTTCCAGGGCACTCGCCACAACGTACCTCTCTCTCTCTCTGCATCTTCCATTTCTCTTCTCCTTTTCGGTTTTCTAATGTTCCTGTTTATTGCAGGTTGGTTTTGAGATGGTGGATGCTTTGGCTGATGCAGAAGGGATATCTATGAACACTGTTAACTTCAAGGCCTTGTTTGGAAAAGGTATAACTTCTCATTCTCCATTGTGATAAATTCTCAAAATTTGAAATTTTTTCAGTTTTATATGTCTCTATGTTTGATGTGGGGAATTGAAACCATGGTTGAATCTAACTTTAGCTACTGGTTTTTCTATCATAGGCGTTATTGGAAATATACCGATTATGCTGGCGAAGCCTCAAACTTTCATGAACGCGAGTGGTGAGTCTGTAAGTGAGCTCATCGGAACAGAACTTTGCTTTATATAGTAGTGAAGTGAACCAATCTTTCTGCTTATTATCACTTATACTGTAATTAGTTCTGATTATGGTTGCTGGAATTTTGGGAAGGTTGGACAAATTGTTTCCTTTTACAAGATCCCGCTAAAGCAAGTACTTGTGGTATGCATTATCTTCTCTCTCCCGCTCTCCAACTTCTGGAGTTAAGAGTGGATATGATGTCTTAAAGAACTTTCTGTTGTCTTGTACAGATTTACGATGATTTAGATTTGCCCTTTGGTAAACTGCGGTTATTGCCAAAAGGTGGTCACGGAGGGCACAATGGGTACAAAGCCTTTCACTCTATATCTTTACATGTATAAGGATGTATTTACCACTGTCAAATCATAGAGAATATGAACATTTCAAGTATTCTGAGGAAGAAAAACTCTTGAAGCTGTTTTGGTAACACAACGTTGATGAAAGAAATTGTTATGGTCGTTTACATGCAGGATGAGAAGCATTATAGATCGCCTTAAAGGGAGCCGTGATTTTCCTCGGCTAAGAATAGGTATAGTTCTCATTTTCATCTTCTTCGACAAACCCAATTTCTCATTTACTTCTTGGATGTTTGCTAACTGTTGTATGTTTGATTTCTCAGGGATCGGACGGCCTCCGGGGAAGATGGACACAGCCAATTATGTTCTCCGCCAGTTCAATAAACAAGAACAGCAAGAGGTAGAAGAAGATATACCCCAACATTATATCAGTCTTTTAAGAAAGACAAAAGCCTGATTTCTTATTTTCTTTGTCTGGTTTTGCAGTTGGATTACACATTTCAAACCGGATTAGAGGCAATAAGGATTATGTTGCTTGAAGGGTTCAACAAAAGTGCAACCTTTGTCAACACTCGAAAATCTATGGAGCAGCTCAGTTAAAAAGAGTGTGTGTTCCATCACATATAAACAATTGCAGAGTTTTCCGGCGATTCATTATTAATTTTCCGATTCATATTGCTGAATCCATTTGATCAAATTGTATATCAAAAGAAAACCAGCATTTTTGCTCATATGTTTTAATAAATTTAATCATCAAGATTTTAAATTGAGTTTCTCATCCTACTTGAAAGCATTAACCGATGAAATTCAATACGTCTTAGAAGAAATTTCCCAATTTTGAGATGCAAAAATGGTGTTTTTAATTTTTCTTAGTTCATTTTAAAAGAAAAAAAAAAGACGCCATTTTTAGTTTTATATACCCTTGGAAGAAGCTTCAGTGAGAGAATATCGATTCGACTTCCGTCTCCAGACAATTCGAGCTCAGTAAATCTATTCGCCCCTTTTCGGAAGAGCCCGAAATTTCGAAGATACCCGGTCTCGCGTTTAAACCCTCCGACGAGCTCTCCGGTAGTCATGTACGGCGGAGGTGGGTTTTGCTCTGAACCCTTGAATTGCTTTCTCGTTCGTCATTTTCCTCTCATTAGAGATATTCTCGTTCGAATTTTGAATTTTTCTCCCGTCGTGGTTGGTTTGTTTCACAGATGAAGTGTCAGCGATAGTGGTTGACTTGGGTTCGCACACTTGCAAGGCTGGTTACGCCGGCGAAGATGCTCCCAAAGCCGTTTTCCCTTCCGTAAGTTTCACTTCTTTCTACTCCTTTAAACTTCTTTTTGGATCTTCTCGAGCTTCTTGTTGGTCTTGATTCTAGCATTTGATGCTCGCCAGAGTTTCTGTAAGCTTCATTGTGCTAGTGTAGATTTACCTCAAGTCTCTCGTGTCTTCAAACATATGAATTACTCTTAGGGTTTTTTTCTTTCTTTTCTGATGTGTTCATAAGGTTGTTGGGGCGGTAGAGGGTATAGAGGCAATGGATGTGGATGCTGATTCCGCGAAGTCAAATTCTGAGGATTCAAAGGCCAACGAGTCTGAAAAAGAAAAGGGAAAACGCAAGCTCTATGTAGGATCTCAAGCCTTGAATTACCGCCGAGACCATATGGAGGTTAGCTTTTCCTCTTTGATTAATGTTAAATTTATAAATTGGTTAGTGAACTACAGATTGCAATTTTTCAAGTATGTTAAACAAATCTGTGTCACCAGGTGTTGTCACCCATGAAAGATGGCATTGTTTCTGATTGGGATTTGGTGGACAATATATGGGATCATGCTTTCAGGTAACTGTATAAAGCATTATATTTTCTCTTAGTTGTTGTTTGATTTCATCTCTAAAATAATTTTGTTTATCTCTGAAGGAATTGTCTGATGATTGATCCTAAGGAGCACCCCATGCTGCTAGCTGAGCCTCCTTTGAACACTCAACAGCAGAGAGAGAAGTTCGTTTTATCTGCTTGTGAATATCTTTTTTTCTGTATTGAGTCAACTTGAGTGTGTTACTGAGTTTCTCGATCATATGCTCGACAGGGCAGCAGAGCTAATGTTTGAAAAATACAAAGTTCCAGCATTGTTTATGGCCAAAAATCCTGTATATTCCCTCGACCTTGGATCATCATTCTTTTGATAGATAATAACTATAGCGTTTGATCTCTAGCCGGCTCTTGTGTAGTCAGATGTCTAACTATCTACATGACTTTGGCGTGTCTTTGGTGCTAGGTTCTCACTTCTTTTGCTACTGGGCGTGCCACTTCTTTGGTTGTTGACTGGTACGACTTTTGTACTTCAAAGTTTTCTTTAGTATGTAGAAGCTACTAATGTTCTACTTGTGTCCTAAATGCTGTGAAAATTTACCTTGTTTCTGTTTACTGTGATTACTCTGAGAAGCACTGATGGCACATTTTTTCTTCCAGTGGTGGAGGATCCACGACTATTTCACCGGTGCATGATGGTTATGTTCTTCAAAAGGTATTTGTAATTACTCGAATTGATAAGGATTCATGCTTTGCGATGCTGTTACTTTTGGTTTGGATGTTCTGCTGCTGGAGGAAGTTTTTCCCATCTCTCGTTTCCAAACTTTTATCTTTAGCTGCTATAAATTATCATCCATGTGAATCTTGACTACCTTTACTTTTGTGTACTGATTTCTGTTCTTCCACTGTTGACCATACTTGTATTCTCAGGCTGTTGTATCATCTCCACTTGGAGGGGAATTTCTCACTGACTGCTTACTGAAAAGCTTGGAGAGCAAATCTATTAAAGTAAGTTAATCCATTTCTGCACTGTTCTTTTATCTTTCAATTTACCTTACTTTCATGGTCATTTGTTTTGCAGATAAGACCTAGATACTCTTTCAAGAGAAAGGAAGTACGAGCAGGGGAATTCCAGGTGTGTATGTGGATCAGTTGGTGAAACTACTATTTGAGTATATTATTTATTTTATTGAGAGAAAGAGATTTTTGAAATTCGATTGTGTTCTTGACATAGTAGATGTGATCTTTTCTACTGGGCAATGAGACAGAGAAATTGTAGGATTTGTCTCATTTCAATTAGGATAGCTGGCTCTAGCAAATTGCTTATAGCACTTTTCTTACCGCTGAAATGTAATATTTCTCCTATTTCCTCCCTTTGAATCCTTGCAGGTTGAAGATGTAGCTCTTCCTGACACCACGGAAAGCTACAAGCTCTTCTGCCAGGTCTGTAATTGATAATGAAAGCTTGTTTGAAATTTGTCAAGCTCTTCTGTCAAGTTTGTTGTTCTATAACTTGGCGAATTTTTCTCAACAGAGGATGATAGTGGGTGATATCAAGGATTCTATCTGCCGGGTTCCTGATACTCCCTATGACGGTATGTTATGCTCTTCTGTCTTTCACCGGTTTGATAAATATGTGTTTCTTCAAAGTTTAGAGTTGTTTGAGAGATAAATGTAAGATACTACTTATTATCTTTCAGTGTTCATTGATCACGTAGCCTTAGTTTTCCTGATGTAAATGCTTTTATCTGCAGACAAATCATATTCTAACATACCAACTACGTCTTACGAGCTTCCTGATGGCCAGTAAGCTCTCCAGTTTATGATTTTTTGTGCCTCAAATGTGCATGCTACTGTTGCTTTTGCTTTCCATTATTGAGCATGTCTACTGCAGGACGCTCGAGATTGGATCTGATAGGTTCAAAGTTCCTGATGTGATGTTCAACCCGTCCATAGTGCAGGTACAAAAGAACGGCCTTAGAAGTTCTGAAGACTTCTTGTTTCTTCTCTTGAGCTGTTTTAAGCCTCAAATTGTTTATATTTAAATGATTTTCCGTGTTTACTGGAATCTGGCAGACAATTCCTGGAATGGAGAAGTACGCAGACATGATTCCTTCCGTTCGTGGATTACCACACATGGTAAATGCTTAGATTTTTAAGTCATTGCAGATCATTCGTCGCAATCCTGACCAACTCCACTCTCCATTTTATAAACTGGTACAGGTCATGGAGAGCGTCAACAAATGTGATGTAGATATCCGGAGAGAGTTGTACAGTAGCATACTGGTAAGACATACAATCAATTTCAACTCTTAAATCCATAGTTAAACTATATATTAACGATCCCTTTTGGATGTGGATGATATTCATACTTCTCTCATTGCATTATGTTAGCTTGCTGGTGGCACCTCATCAATGCAACAGTTGAAAGAACGTCTCGAAAAGGACTTGATCGAAGTACTGCATCCTCCTCTCTCTTTTTCTCTAGCCTGTAAACATTTCCTTTGTGTTTTAAGATGTTCATCGGCCTCTTATCTTTCGTTTCAGGAGTCTCCTCACTCGGCTAGAGTTAAAGTGTTGGCGAGCGGAAACACAACAGAAAGAAGATTCAGGTTTGGATATTATAGTTCACTTCTTCCTCTACGTCTCATTGCTTGACACAGTTCTAGTAGTTCCTAAGTCATTGATTGATCCTTGATGCGAGCTCCATCTCCTGCAGTTTTACTTGTCATTAATGTAACCCCGAAAATGTGATTTTATATATGTGCAGTGTATGGATAGGTGGGAGTATATTGGCATCACTAGGTTCATTTCAGCAGATGTGGTTCTCCAAATCTGAGTAAGTCTCTGTTTTGCGTCTTCCATTGATCACAGACTATCAAAGAAACCGTTTTTAGTTTTTTTTTTATCTGCTGATACATGAGCTGTGGTTGTCGGATTTAGGTACGAGGAACATGGCGCTTCTTACATTCAGAGAAAGTGTCCTTAAAGCGGCTTCAGATTCTGTGGAACCTGAGACAGACTTGAAAACTAGTGTGATGATTTTATATGTCATCTTTGTTGTTCTTAATACTCTCTCTTTGTCAAGGTCAAGAACCTTTGGTGTGAGTTAGATATTCTTAACAGACGTTTTAGTCTTTTAGTGCTATTTATAAAACTAACGTCAAAAATTATTTCAGATTTATGAATTATGATATTATTATGAACAGATTCAAAATCTAAAACCTGAAATGTGTATGTAAACAGAAATGTATTCAATTAAATCGAAAACTATAAGTAAGGAAGGTTAAAGATTCAAGCATCAAAACGTTAACGTTCTTTTTGTTCTCTTTTTGTATTTTTTCCTTCTGTTTCGGTTTCTTGAAGAGTTCACATTTCTTGATATTTCAGAAATTTGGTTGGTTCTTCATTTTTCTGCAGCCTAGTCTTGTCACGATATATCCAGATGCTAAACTTTTAAGGAGCCTACCTTAGCTTTGCAGCATGCTCGGCATCTGTGTACATCCAGATAAGACTTAATTCAATGTCGAAACGTAATAGATAACAACCAAGAGAGCATTAGTGATCTCAGCTAAAACATGTGTTGCAATACACAGGGACAAATTCGACTTGGACTCTCCGCCACCACTGCTTTTTCTTTTGTCTCCATTGTTGCTGCTCTCTTGGACCAATGTCCTTCTCTCGGACTCTTAACTTTACTTGTGTAGTTGTGTGGCATTCTCTGTTTATTTTCTTCTTTTTCTCTGCGTTTTGTTTTGCTAACTAGAAAATATTTTAAAACGACACTGAAATTATCAAATTATTATTATCATTTTAAGTTTGCGGTGGTACGTGGACCTGGTGGTAAAAGAGAAAAACAAAACTATCTTGCGACAAAAGCCAATGGAGAGACAAGGATCGTAGTTGCTTATCTTAAGATATTCCGACAACCAAAACCCTCCACATCACTCTTTGGACCAAGTTAATCCTCGAAATAATAAGAAAATGACTTCGGAGTTTGAGTTTACAGAATTCCCATCTTTGGAAAATGTGTTCTAATGTAAAAAGTTTGTGAACCACAAAAGTGATAAGTATAATATGTAAATTAATGTTATCGAGATCACTCACGAGTCACGATACTAGCAATACTATTATTATACTATACTAAAATCGTCAGAAAATAAAAGACAAATAGGCGTAACTTCTCCGCCACTACAGACATAGGTGTCATGTCTCCATATCCGCATGCAGAATCCAGTAGATGACACATTCTTACTCATCCAATAACGTTTACCGACGACCTTCTTGTGGACGGTAAGAATCGCCGACGTGCCCTAATTTATCCGACTCCATCCACAAACGGGAAGAAAACAAAAGACGTTTCTTTCTCTTTAATCCCCTCGATTGCGGCTGTTTGTATTTCTTGGTCTCCATTTTCTTTTTCGTTTCTTTTTTCTGTGTTTTCGGAACAAGAAGAGGAAATATTTGCTTCTTTTCTTGTGTTCTTCTGGATAACAAAATCATGCAGAGGATCGTCGACCACGCTCTCGCTGTCACAAAAGAGTGAGTGCCTCTCTCTGTTTGATTCATGCAGTCCCTTAGAGCATGTTTAATTAGTGATTTTTATGATATGATTCATTTAGTATTAGTGCTTTTTAGTGATCTCAGATTCAAAACTTTATTAATTGTTACCTTAGTTTGGATGTAAATGTGGTCGGGTAGATTTGATTTTGATTATGCTGTATATAGTTTTCTTTGAGTTTGATACCGATCATGCCATTGTTCTTTAGATTTAGTGGGTTAATTAATAGTTATTGATTTAGGGACATGACAGTGATGTACTCAGTCCTGTAATAATTTACAGTAATTCTCTTTGTATAGGTGGTTAGTTTTCTTAATTTATAGTTTGTCGTTTACTTCTGTTGTTGGTCCAAGGAGACTTATGTTTTCTAAAAAATCTTGAGCAAATTATGATTTTGGCTAATATTTTTTGAGTTGTAGTGCAGGTCAGTGAAAACTCTGACTTTCGAGTTTCTGAACAGCTTTGCAAGATTCATAAATGGAGTTTCTGCACTTCTCTTGACTCTTATCCCTGGAAAGGCCAATGTTCTTGAAGGTCTTCACGGCTGGGAACTAAGGCCTACGTTACGTGGACCTCGTTTACCTCGGTGGATGCATAAGTATAACAATCAATCTTTTGATAAACTCTCTCTTAACACTTCTTTGTACTACCTAAATAACAAACAGTTAACGTAATGCTTACTCTACTCTCTTTCTTGCAGTGGAGTCTCGTCTTTCAACCAATTCATTCATGAGCTCTCTGTGGATTCTGATACTTCAAGCTTGGAGTATTCCTCTGAAGAAGATAGCAATGGCATGTCGACGCCTCCATCATCACCGTTGTCTCAAGGCTCACTCCGCGCTTGGGCTACTCTTCCTGCAAACTACGAGAGCCACTGGACAGAGTGGGTAACCTCCATACTCTGGTTGGTTTTAATACCATCCCGGGTCCTTCTATGGGTACTCTTAAGTCTTTTTGGTAGACAAAACTCGCCTACGAGCCCTAGAACTAGGTACAAGCATTCTTCAAGGCCTTATTTTAGCAAACTGATCCCAGGGAAAGGGCATCATGTCCCTAACCGAACTACTGATAGACGACGCGGAGTCATTGAGGTTTGTGTGGATGAATGAATGAATCAACATACTAATGTTCTTGAATCATTCTCACACATTCATATCATATGTCTTGTATCTATGCAGGATCTTCAGGTGAATATCGAGATCTATATAGAAACAGTGTTTGGCTTCTTTCACAAGGCTGCACATCTTCTTCTTTCTCCATCAGAAACCTTTGGAATATTCTTGTCATGCTTCTCTTCCTCCGGTCACAAAGGAAACTATGGTTACTTTTGGGATGATGAAGTTGTGCAGACCGCCATTCTAGGAGATGACGATCCATCCCTTACAGAAGAAAGAACCACAACTGGCTTGTACAATACTGATACTCGAACCTGTCAAGATGTCATAACAGAGCTTGGGTAAGGGAAGAAGATGCTTCGTTGCTTATTTACTTCTTCTCATACTCTTTTATCATTTAATCATTTGACTAAACTTCTCAGTCACGTAATCTTGATAGGTATCCATATGAAGCTATTCGTGTTGTTACATCTGATGGATATGGTCTTCTCTTGGAAAGGATACCAAGGTAGTCTGTTAAGACTCAGTAAGTTCCTTTAAGATGTGTAATCACTAACTTGCTCTCATGTTTTTTTTTCAGACGAGATGCGAGGAAAGCTGTTTTCTTGCAGCATGGTGCTTTGGATTCTTCAATGGGGTTAGTCTATTTCTTTGATGACTTATTAGGTTTTTTTCTTCTTTTTACTCTGTCTCATCTCTTCTTTGATCTTTCAGATGGGTATCTAATGGAGTTGTTGGATCTCCTGCTTTTGCTGCTTATGACTAAGGTCACTGCCGTGTCAGATCACTAATATGCAACTGAAACTTTACCACATAGCTTACTCTGTTTTGTCTTGTCAGGCTACGATGTCTTCCTTGGGAACTTACGTGGTTTAGTTTCAAGAGATCATGTGAACAAAAACATATCCTTCAAAGAGTGTGTAGTATAACATAAACTGTTTCTTTTATGGATTTCATTTCATTTCTTGTATAATTCTTTATTGATGATGGATGCTCAAAAAACGTGACACAGTTTCTGGAGTTACTCCATCAACGAGCATGGAACAGAGGACATGCCAGCAATGATAGACAAGGTTCACGAGATCAAAACCTCGGAGCTGAGACTCTACCAGCCTAACGTCGAAGAGGTATCAAACGAGGAGCAGCCTTACAAGCTCTGCCTTCTCTCTCACAGCCTAGGCGGAGCCGCGGTTCTCATGTACATAGTCACACGTAGAATCGAAGAGAAACCTCACAGACTCTCAAGACTCATCTTGCTTTCCCCTGCCGGGTTTCACGACGACACCAGCCTCTGTTTCTCGTTGTTGCAATACGTATTCCTTCTCTCGAAACCGATAATGCCCCGGTTTGTTCCGGCTTTCTACATCCCCACAAGGTTCTTCAGGATGCTTCTCAACAAGCTAGTTCGAGACTTGCATAACTATCCGGCTGTTGGTGGACTGGTCCAGACGCTGATGGGTAATGTGATTGGAGGAGACAGCTCGGACTGGGTCGGAGCCATGGGTTTGCCTCACTACAACATGAACGACATGCCGGGGATATCCTTCAACTTGTGTCTGCACCTTGTTCAGATCAAACGCAGTGGCAAGTTTAAGATGTTTGATTACGGCAGCGTTTCAGCTAACATGGAGGTTTACGGGTCGCCTGAGCCGCTCGATCTTGGGGAGTTTTACGGTTTGATCGATGTGCCGGTGGATGTTGTAGCCGGGAAGAAAGATAAAATCATCAGGCCTTCAAATGTTAGGAAACATTACAGGGTGATGAGAGAGTCAGGTGTTGCTGATGTTTCTTACAAAGAGTTTGAGTATGCTCATTTGGATTTTACCTTCTCTCACCGTGAAGAGCTTTTGGCCTATGTAATGTCTCGGCTGCTGCTTGTGGAGCCGGCGCAGACTCAGACGGTTAAGAAGAAGGGGATGAAGCTGAAAAAGAAAATGGAGGCAGCCAAAGCGAGTCATCTATATGAAGTATGAGAAAATAGGCTTTTTATAGAGTTTCTGATGTCTGTCTTGTTTGTAATGTTTTTCGCTCATGAATGAGATTGTGGCTTAGGACAGTGTATATACAGGAGGTGTTCTTCAGTATCTGTCAGTATCTGTCAGTATCCATAACAAGTAAAAGCAGAACTGAATTTTCCACCCAAAAAGTTGAAATAAGTACACAAAAAGAGAAAGAGACGGATATTATACATGTTGTATGTTACAGCTAAAGTATGTAAGAGACTGTATAAATGAGGTTTTCTACTGAAAAAAGGAAAAAGATATATATGTATAGCCCTATATCTTTTTTATACTTGATGCTGATCCAGACAAATAAAAAGATTCAGCAAAAACACATCAGAAGTTGGATAAAAGGAATGTTTGTCTGGAGCAATCAACCTCAAATCCTACGGCTGAACATTGGGCCAAAGTTAGACAGAGTCAAACGTCGTATACAGGTAGTCGTTCTTCAATGGCTACACGACATATTGGACATTTTTTACACTTTACTGAACGGTGTTGACAACAACAAAAATGGCACAGAAACAATTTATGAGCATGACCTCATAGGTTCCTAGTTTCTTTATATGGTATATTTTATTAAGACGAAATCTGAGTCACAAATGCCTAAACGTTTCTAAGTATCGTACGTACCTGCAGAGAACACGGTGTCTGCATGGAAGCAGGACCAAACTGATTTCATTTTCAAAGCAAACCCTACAGAGCACTTTTTCAACGAAGGTGAAAGATTCGCGCATCAAAACGTTTACGTTCTAATTGCTCACCTTTTGTTTTTTTTCTTCTTTTTCGGTTTCTTGAAAAGTTCACATTTCTTGATTTTTCTGAAATTCGGTTGGTTCATCTTTTCTTATTCTGCAGCCTAGTCTTATCACGATATATATATATCCAGATGCTAAGCTTTTAAGGAGCCTACCTTATAAGCTTTGCAGCATGCTCGGCATCTGTGGTGTATATGGAGATAAGACTTAATTTGATGTCGAAACGTAATAGATAACAACCAAGAGAGCATTAGTGATCTGAGCTAAAACATGTGTTGCAATACACACAGGGACCAATTCGTCTTGGACTCTCCGCCACCACTGCTTTTTCTTTTGTCTCCATTGTTGCTGCTCTCTAGGTTTTTCCTCCTTTCTTTCCCTCTCTCTGACTCCAACTTTACTTGTGTAGTTGTGTGGCATTCTCTGTTTATTTACTTCTTTTTCTCTTCGTTTTGTTTTGCTAACTACAAAATATTTTAAAACCGACACTGAAAGTATTATTATCTTTTTAAGTTTGCGGTGGTGGTGTGGTAAAAGAGAAAAACAAACTATCTTGCGACAAAAGCCAATGGAGAGACAAGGGGCGTAGTTTATTATCTTAAGATATTCCGACAATCAAAACCCTCCACATCACTCTTTGGACCAAGTTAATCCTCGAAATAATAAGAAAATGACTTTGGAGTTTGAGTTTACAGAATCCCCCATCTTTGAAATGTTTTTTTAATGTATAAAGTTTGTGAACCACAAAAGTGATAAGTATAATATGTAAATTAATGTTATCGAGATCCCACACGCATGACGATACTAGCAATACTATTATTATACTATACTAAAATCGTCAGAAAATAAAAGACAAATAGGCGTAACTTCTCCGCCACTACAGACATACGTGTCATGTCTCCATATCCGCATGCAGAATCAGTAGATGACACATTCTAACTCATCCAATAATGCATACCCACGTGTCATGTCTCTGGTCACGTCTCTCTAAAATAACGTTTACCGACGACCTTCTTGTGGACGGTAAGAATCGCCGACGTGCCCTAATTTATCCGATTCCATCCACAAACGGGAAGAAAACAAAAGACGTTTATTTTTCTTTAATCCCCCTCGATTGCGGCTGTTTGTATATCTTGGTCTCCATTTTCTTGTTCGTTTCTTTTTTTCTGTGTTCTCGGAACAAGAAGAGGAAATATTTGCTTCTTTTCTTGTGTTCTTCTGGATAACAAAATCATGCAGAGGATCGTCGACCACGCTCTCGCTGTCACAAAAGAGTGAGTCCCTCTCTCTGTTTGATTCATGCAGTCCCTTAGTGCATATTTAATTAGTGATTTTTATGATATGATTTCGTATTAGTGCTTTTTAGTGATTTCAGATTCAAAACTTTATTGTTACCTTAGTTTGGATGTAAATGTGGTCGGATAGAATTGATTTTGATTATGCTGAAAATATAGTTTTCTTTGAGTTTGATACCGATCATGCCATTGTTGAGCCATTGGTTTTAATAGTGTAGGTCCTTATTTCACACTGTTCTTTAGATTTGGTGGGCTAATTAATAGTTATTGATTTGGGGACATGACAGTGAAGTACTCAGTCCTGTAATAATTTACAGTAATTCTCTTTGTATTGGTGATTAGTTTTCTTTATTCAGAGCTTGTCGTTTGCTATTGTTGTTGGTCCAAGGAGACTTGTGTTTTTTCTAAAAAATTCTTGAGCAAATCATGATTTTGGCTAATATTTTTGGGTTTTAGTGCAGGTCAGTGAAAACTCTGACTTATGAGTTCTTGAACAACTTTGCAAGATTCATAAATGGAGTCTCTGCACTTCTCTTGACTCTTATCCCTGGGAAGGCCAATGTTCTTGAAGGTCTTCACGGCTGGGAACTAAGGCCTACGTTACGTGGACCTCGTTTACCTCGGTGGATGCATAAGTATAACAATCAATCTTTTGATAAACTCTCTCTAACAAACAGTTAACGTAAGGCTTACTCTAGTCTCTCTTTTTTGCAGTGGAGTCTCGTCTTTCAACCAATTCATTCATGAGCTCTCTGTGGATTCTGATACTTCAAGCTTGGAGTATTCCTCTGAAGAAGATAGCGATGGCATGTCTACGCCTCCATCATCACCGTTATCTCAAGGCTCACTCCGCGCTTGGGCTACTCTTCCTGCAAACTACGAAAGCCACTGGACAGAATGGGTAACCTCCATACTCTGGTTGGTTTTAATACCCGCCCGGGTCCTTCTATGGGTACCGTTCTTTCTCTTTGGTCTTTTTGGTAGACGAAACTCGAGAATGTCTCCTACGAGCCCTGGAGCTAGGTACAGGCATACTTCAAGGCCTTACTTTAGCAAACCTATCCCAGGGAAAGAGCATCATGTCCCTAACCGAACTACTGATAGGAGACGCGGAGTCATTGAGGTTTGTGTGGATTAATGAATGAATCAACATACTAATGTTCTTGAATTATTATTCTTACACATTCATATCATATGTCTTGTATCTATGCATGCAGGATCTTCAGCTGAATATAGAGATCTATATAGAAGCAGTGTTTGGCTTCTTTCACAAGGCTGCACATCTTCTTCTTTCTCCATCAGAAACCTTTGGAATATTCTTGTCATGCTTCTCTTCCTCCGGTCACAAAGGAAACTATGGCTACGATTCGGATGATGAAGTTGTGCAGACTGCCATTCTAGGAGATGACGATCCATCCCTTACAGAAGAAAGAACCACTACAGGCTTATACAATACTGATACTCGAACCTGTCAAGATGTCATAACAGAGCTTGGGTAGGGGTTTACTTGTTCTGTTACTCATTTAACTATTTTTTCAGTTGATTGAACTTGTTCACTTAATCTTGATAGGTATCCATATGAAGCTATTCGTGTTGTTACATCTGATGGATATGGTCTTCTCTTGGAAAGAATACCAAGGTATATATATAGTCTATTAAGGTTCAGCAAGTTCCTTTAAGATGTGTAATCATTGACTTGCTCTCATGTTTTTTTCCAGACGAGATGCGAGGAAAGCTGTTTTCTTGCAGCATGGTGTTTTGGATTCTTCAATGGGGTAAGTTTCATTTTATGACTTGTCAGGTTTCTCTTTTGGCTTGTTTCTCATCTGTAGTTTCATCTTTCAGATGGGTATCTAATGGAGTTGTTGGATCTCCTGCTTTTGCTGCTTATGACCAAGGTCACTGCCGTGTCAGATCACTAATATGCAAATACTCACAAATCACTTCAGGACTCATATGCAACTGAAGCTTACTCTGTTTTGTCTTGCCAGGCTACGATGTCTTCCTTGGGAACTTACGTGGTCTAGTTTCAAGAGATCATGTGAACAAAAACATATCCCCTAAAGAGTGAGTAGTATATAATAAACTGTTTCTTATATGGATCTCATTTCATTTCTTGTATAATTCTTTACTGATGGATCCTCAAAACGTGACAGATTCTGGAGTTACTCCATCAACGAGCATGGAACAGAGGACATCCCAGCAATGATAGAAAAGGTTCACGAGATCAAAACTTCGGAGCTGAAACTGTACCAGCCTAACGCCGAAGAGGTATCAAACGAGGAGCAGCCTTACAAGCTCTGCCTTCTCTCTCACAGCCTAGGCGGAGCCGCGGTTCTCATGTACGTAGTCACACGTAGAATCGAAGAGAAGCCTCACAGACTCTCAAGACTCATCTTGCTTTCTCCTGCCGGGTTTCACGAAGACTCCAACCTATGTTTCACGCTAATGCAATACGCATTCCTTCTCTCGAAACCGATACTACCCCGGTTTGTTCCGGCTTTCTACATCCCCACAAGATTCTTCAGGATGCTTCTCAACAAGCTAGCTCGAGACTTCCATAACTATCCTGCTGTTGGTGGACTGGTCCAGACGCTGATGGGTAATGTGATTGGTGGAGACAGCTCGGACTGGGTCGGAGTCTTGGGTTTGCCTCACTACAACATGAACGACATGCCGGGGATATCTTTCAACGTTGTTCTGCATCTTGCTCAGATCAAACGCAGTGGCAAGTTTAAGATGTTTGATTATGGAAGTGTTTCAGCTAACATGGAGGTTTACGGTTCGCCTGAGCCGCTTGATCTTGGTGAGTTTTACGGGTTGATCGATGTGCCTGTGGATCTTGTAGCTGGGAAGAAAGACAAAGTGATCAGGTCTTCAATGGTTAGGAAACATTACAGGGTGATGAGAGAGTCAGGTGTTGCTGATGTTTCTTACAAAGAGTTTGAGTATGCTCATTTGGATTTTACCTTCTCTCACCGGGAAGAGCTTTTGGCCTATGTAATGTCGCGGTTGCTGCTTGTGGAGCCGACGCAGACGCAGACGGTGAAGAAGAAGGGGATGAAGCTCAAGAAGAAAATGGAAACAGCCAAACCGAATCATCTATGAACTATGAGAAAACTATGAGAAAATAGGCTTTTTATAGAGTTTCTGATGTCTGTCTTGTTTGTAATGTTTTGAGGTCATGAATGAGATTGTGGCTTAGAACAGTGTATATACAGGAGAGTGTTCTTCAGTCTCAGTGTCACTATCCATAACAAGTAAATGCAGAACTTCCACCCAAAAAGTTGAATACGACACAAAAAGAGAGAGAGACGGATATTATACAGATTGTATGTTACAGCTAAAGTAAGTAAGAGACTGTATAAATGAGGTTTTCTACTGAAGAAAAAGAAGAAAAGATATATATATATGTATAGCCCTATATCTTTTTCTATACTTGATGCTGATCCAGACAAATAAAGAGATTCAGCAAAAACACATCAAAAGTTTGATAAAAGGAATGTTGGTCTGGAGCATCAACCTCAAATCCTACGCTTGAACATTGGGCCAAAGTTAGACAGAGTCAAACGTCGTATACAGGTAGTCGTTCTTCAATGGCTACACGACATATTGGACACTTTTTACACTTTTCTGAACAGGTTCTGCAACAACAACAAAATATGGCACAGAAACAATTTATGAACATGACACTGAGAGAGCTATGCCCAGATGAGCATTTCAAACTACCAGAGTCTGAGTAAAAACTGTCTAAACTTTTCTAAGTATCGTACGTACCTGCAGAGAACACGGTGTCTACATGGAAGCAGGACCAAACTGATTTCATTTTCAAAGCAAACCCTACACAGCACCTTCTCCTGGAGTAAAGACACATTTGAAACAGGATTAGGCTAAAGAGAAAAATCAAAACCGATAAGAGGATACACCCAAAAAGTTAAAAACCATCACAGCTAATAAGACATTTACAGGAGCATGGAGGAAGGAAAAAAATTTACATTTTGCAGTCTTTCATATTCCTTCTGGCTGAATTTTGTGATTTCGGTTTGTTCGCCAAGAGCTGCTTGAAGTCTCCACACCTAGAGGGCATCAAATTAGATCGGATGTACACGAAAGATAAGCAATGCTGAAACTAGAAGACACAAGACTCGAGAACAAGGAGAACCTGTACTGAGTTGGAAAGAAATATGCCAAAAAAGAGAAGTAAAGTTACCTCTTCAGCAAGATCTTCCTTTGGCATTTTCTTGACTATCTCAGGCGGGTGACCACTAAAGGTATTGTAACTGCACAAGCACATTATCATGAATTTAGAACACGTCCAATAACATTTTTTTGTTAGACCATATAGAAGGTTGGATTATACTAACTAACCCAGATTCTCGATCAAAGTTCAGTCGAACTTGTTCCTCCCGGCTTCCTTCATCAATCGACCACCAACCTAATAGTCTGAGTAGGAAACCGCATTGACTGATTTTGTTAGTTTAAAATCTTGTTAATCAAAACCTTTTAGGAACCAAAAAACAGACAAACGTGTTTGTCACCTGGAACCATGGTGCAAGAAACCCAAGCAATCATGGGCTCTTGATGAAAATCTAAAATAAAACCCTGAGCCAGCTTCCCCGCGCAGTAAGACGACGATCTTCTCTATTAATTTAGATGCAGCAAAGAGAACACCAAGGCCTTGCAATAGGAATAGTGGAGAAAACAGGACTGGAATAGATATATCCTTCGCTCTTTCAGGAGTCCCCTGAAAATCCAAACCATCAGCTTTTTTTTTAATGTCTAAAGAAGACAGCATGGTAAGATAGAGAGACACGTGGTGTATACCTCTAGATGCATGCAAAGGCCAGCTTGAAATACAATGACGGGAATTTTCAACAGGTGACCACCAATATCTTGTAAACCACACAATCTATCTTGGTGCCCATCCTCTTCTGCAGCAACTACTAGGCCACTATTCCAGTCAAGATATCTAATAGTGTTAGAAGATGACCCCGTCTCTCGAGCGCGTGAGCTTCTATGGATCTCTGGGTTGGACCATTTTGTACAAACAAGAAAAGCAAAGCACTCGGCAATTCTGCAGGCAAAACATTTTCACATATATTACTTTCATCATCATTTCCACCAAGTACTTCTTAAACTAAAGAAGACAAAGCAAAGCATACCCAATATTTATAAATAAATCCCACCAGCTGAGAGCAGCTACATCGCCTGTGTATTTTAAATAAAACAAGGAGGTCGATAAGAAGGAATGGAACACAAAAACTCCACGTGGAAGATAGGTTTTAAAGCAGACAGAGATAAAGTTAGACGACTATTTAGACAAGCATTCGAGAGACGCAATATTACCAGAAAGCTTTAGGAGGGTAAAGAATGTAGCAGCCAATGTGAACACCATGGAAATAGCAACCCAAAAATGCTGCAGGCAACAAGGAAAAAACATCTAAATGTTTATTTTAAGCACTGACCAGCTTCCCCTGCCCGTCAACAAAATATTATATAGAAATCCCAAGCCCGTGTGTGGAAGATTACAGAAATTTATCAAAAGGTTTTCCTTTCTCAGTCCTAAGTTGTGTTATTTGGCAAATTAGAGACCGTTTGTCATTAATGTGCAACAGATAGATCTTACCCTAAATACTTTAACAAATTGCAAAATCAAAGAGTAACAAGCCTAAACGAAGACTTACAGGAAGTGCCTCCCATATTGCTTCATCAGTTAAGCTGTCGTCGTCTCCTGGCATCAGTGCTCGACACATCCTGAAGATAAAGCTTGCAGTAGTTAGGAACTTTCCATATATACGATTCATTTTGGTATGTGTTCAAATGACACATAAAGCGAATGCCTTTGTTTGAGAAGTTATGAAAGTATAGTAATTAAACATTAAATGTTTCAATACCTCAAATTGTCTATCAGTATGGTTACTTCAAATGCCAATAACGGTAGGGATGCAATCTTCAAACTCACAGCTGGTGGCCAGCTACCTGCCATTCAAGATAGAAGAGGTCACAATCCGATGAAATGGGATAAAATGAAAAACAACCCTTCATACAGAATCAAACTACTTTTGTGATCTCCTCCACAACTTGACCATACGTATTCTCCAAGATCAAATCGTAGCAAGATGAAACTTTGAGATTCAGAGCCATCATTTTTTGTTAATCATCTACATGTATCAATATGTTCCCATCCCAAGAAACTAGATCACTAGAGGCGACATCTGAAGGTAGAGGGTATTTACCATAAGAACTCTCGAGATATATACAGAGAAGCAATTCAAAAGCTACAAGCAACGGGGTCGCCACAACAGCATGGCATGGAGCCCACTGTACACCAAGAGGGATCATCAACATATCGTAGTATTATCAGTACAATATATTGGAAATATTCACAAGAACAAGATTCCCAGTAATAGTTTGCTAAAAGAGGTAAGAAGACATACATGACGGTTACGCGGAGCAACAGGAGCAGGAAGAGAGAATCTTCCTCTTGCAGTCACTGCATGAAAACCCCACAGCGGCAAAAATACCATCCTGCATAACCCCACAAACAAATTTAAAATTTAATCAGGTCTGTAACGAAAAAGGAAATGGAGATTACTGATTAGATCATTAAACCAAATCAACACAAGTAATGTATTGTTGCAAAACCCTCACTTCCTTTGAAATAAACTCAGTTATTAGTAAACACATACTGTACCTCTAAAAGGATGAAATTTACAGTCTTGGATACAAAATGCATATACCAATCAGTTTCCATAAACTGCAAAAACTTTATTCAGTAGAAACTATTGACGTGATTGCTTCTTTTGTTTCATTACTACTAACAGCGAATACAGAGACAAGGAATCGAGAATTGGTTTAGTGAAAAGGAGCTGAATTTCAATCCTCTCCACAAAAAAAAACTACACACTGCTAACAAAAACCAGATTTTTTCCGTAGAGAAAGACAGTCATTTCTATTCCAAAATTCAACGGGGCAGAAAAAAAAGAGTCCTTCAACCAAATCCCCAAATTGTCAAATCCCAAGGTAACGATTGTTCGCTCTTCGAAAATGAAAATCGAAATCGAACCAATCTTAAACCCAACAAAAGAAAAGAGACTCGAGAGCGTCGTCGATAAGAAGATGAGAGAGAGAGAGAGAGAGAGAGAAAGAGATGATGATGAAGACTAACCACCATGAGGAAGCGACGGCGTGATCAAGCTTAAGGACCAACGAGAGCGTGAAACAGAAGAGTAAGCTATGAGCCGCCAAGGCTTGTATCGACTTGAGCACTCTCCTACAACTCATCCCTATCTATCTCTATCTGTCTATCTATTTCTCTAGCGAAGAATTTCTGGCTTTGTATCCATCTATATATATGGAAATTATCAAATCTATTTATCTCTCTCTCTTTCCAAAGTTGAATAAATAGAGAAATCGAGAAATGCAGCAATGTTTTTAATGGACCCTCTCTGCTTCTTCTTCTTCCTTTTGTGCTCTCTCTGTTCCGCGTCGTTTTTTGTTTTTTTATATTATTTTATTTCCAACAAAAACAAACAAAATCATTATTGCCCTTCGGATTCCTTTTACTTTCTCCCCTCTCTCTCTCTCTCTCTCTCTGGATTTATATTTTAGCTTTGTTTGCACGCCATTATCGAAACGCAAACGCGCTTGGCATCACTTTCGTTAACTAATTGTATTAAACAAAAATTAATTAAGGTGGTATTAAATAATTTCAGAAGAATGGACCGCTCGGATAAAAAGGGAAATAAAAGCTAAATGTCAAGTTAGGTAACGTAATGTCGTAACCCATGGATTCTCTGATGTTTAAGGAAAAAAAAAAAGAAAAATAAGATAAGTGATGGATTGGATTCTTTGACCCGTAAGGTTAACTTCTTTTTTTAAGTGTAAGTTTAAAACAATAAATTTTCCGGTGACCTATAGTAATTAAATTTCTTTAAGTTGTTAGCTCAAAGTAGACATGTTTGTTCCGGAGTCGAACTAAGATGACTATTTAAATATTATGGGACTGTGCTTTCACTGCAGAAATTTGGAGGAGTTTCTTCGCACATCCGGATTTCAATTTGCCTACCTCAATTGAAGATATTGTTCTTTGGTGTCACTCGCCAACTGGGAATAGTAAGGTAAACTCAATATGTATGCTCCTAGTACAAGCAATTCCCTACTGCCTTTGGAGAGAGAGAAATGCGAGACTTCATGGTTCAGCTAACAAACCGGTCCATGTTCTAATCAAGGAAAACAATCTTCAGCGCTGAGGGCAAAAATGTTTGGGATGGACAGAGCGTCACCTATCCATGCATCAGTTCCTGCTACACAAACTTCTTATCTTCAAACCTGGTTCCAATTCTTCCAACAGTGATTTAATTCTAGCCATTTAGGATCACTATTTGGGATCACTGTCTTTGCTTCTAATTGTTGCTTCAATTGAGTTTCTTCTATTGTATCTTTCTTTGGTTTCCTTGTAAGTTTTCACCCTTTTGGGGAGTATTATATAAATGAATGGAAGTTAAAAAAAAAAAAAAAAGGATGACTATTTAAAAATTAAACTATTTTTGATATTGACAAAAAATATTTAAATTTAATTTGATTCATAGTTTTCATTTTATATATTTAAAATTTAAATGAAAATAATATTCTTATCGTTAATGAAATACCGCTAAAATGCTTCTGGGTAAAACTTAATGATCAATCTTAGGAAGAAAAAAAAAACCTAGCTCGTTCTTCTTTTACTCTCTTATGGGGATTTTGGGATAATATCTCATTTTATTAGGGTAGACTTAAAACCTCAAAACTTTAAATAAACCCCATCAAATTATATCGTATTAATGATAGGACCCGCATTAACACGATCTTTCACGCTCTTTTTTTTAGTTCATTTTATTCTTTGGCAAGTCGTGACTTATCCATAAACATAACAAAACACTCAATTTGATTTAAAATAATTTTGTGATTGTGACTGGTGAAACAAGACAATTGCATATAGGTGCGGTGGGGTCAATTAATCGCAACTCACAAAATTGGAGAAAACATCGCTTAAAGCATATAAAATCATGATCGAGCTTTTAAAATTGAGATGAAATAAAGTTAGAAAAAAAAGATATGATATGAATGCAACAACTCTCATAATTTTATCTCCAAAAAAAAAAAAACCTTCATAATTGGAGTATCACAAGCAAACTATTAACAACAACAAATTAAAGCGTTGACGTTGCTAAAAAAAAAATAATAATAATTCTGACACAACTTCTTTTCTTTGTCAAACTGATACACATTCAACGGACACGGGACACTCTGAATCTTATTTTTCTTTCTTTCTTTTATGGGTAAGGTGAATCTTACTTTCACACTGTGCTGCTCTTGTAAGTATACAAGATTATACAGTTAGTAGTTACACTAGTGTATATCAGTATATAAATAGTGTGCGTGAATCACTCCGACTTTGGCCCAAGGGTTTTTGTGGTCCCAAAATGAATAAGCTGACAAAAGAGAAAAATAGTACGAGCAAATAAGCAATAGCCCAAACAAATCTGGGAAATCCAAAGCCCAACCCTAGATGACATATATTGGCTTGGCTTATTTTTTGTTGAACGTACATACGACATACAAAACGAATAAACACGACATACCTGGAAAAACTGGAATTTCAAAACATTTTGACTATTTTTTTTTTTCATTTTTGAGTTCGTAAAAGGGAAGAGACATCAACCAGACAGAACCGGGTCGTGTTATCAAATTGAAGTGGGAAACAAATGCTAGTGTTAGTGTATCTTAAGCGCAAAGTTAAACCAAATATAAATAAGAAAGAAAACTAGATCTTGACCCGTGCTGCTAGGATTGTTGTATCTTATGAATAAACATTAGAGTATGATATGATAGTTATTCAATTATTTGATGAAAATGAAATATTTATGGGTTGTGTGGTTAATTTTGGAGAAACATACAAAAAACCGAATTTTATGAGATAATACAATGATGAACTTGTTTGTTTAGCACACATTTGGTCGGTTCTGGACATTGCACTTGCGACCGAAATTCAATGTTTTTTTTTTTGTAACATTAACAAATAAACAAACAGAACAAAAAAAATCGTCCAAGAGAAATCGATTCCTTATTTCTCGAGTGATGATGTGAAATCGACTTTATCTGATCCAGTGGAATGTCCGCGATGGAAAATTCGGTAAAAATAAAAAGCAGTGATTTAAAAATCGGACCGGACCGGCCAGTCCAACCGGTTAAACCGGGAACCGGTGGCAATCCCGGTCCGAATTTAATGAAAACCCAGAATTTCAATTGACCCAAAAAAACCAACATAAACCCAGCAAAAACCCAAAAACCGGCCGGTTCAGGTAATTAATTAAACCCGGTTTTGGTTTAATGTACCTTGAAACCCTATAACACGTCATCTCTTCTCTTCCTTTTTTGGTCCTCACGATTCTTTTTTTTTATCCAAGTAAAAGAGCTTCCTTTGACTTTCTAAATCAATTGACTAAGCTTTATCATGTGATTTTCTTTGACTAATATTCTCAATATATTTGTATATAATTTGGTTCTTAGTGTTTTCATAAAACATTACGGCTATGGATATAATTTAGGAGGATGACTAGACAAAGTAAAAAATCATGTAGCTGGGCAAAAAAACAATCTAAATTTCTTAACTTTTTACATATATTTATAGTATAGTTTTTTTAACATATTTATATATTCATATATGTAGATTTTTTTTTTAAAATATAAAAACCCGGTCCAACCGGTTGAACCACATTGAACCATGACCCGAATGTACATCCGGTTCGATGTCCGGTCCGGTTTTAAAAACATTGATAAAGAGTTATCACAGTTTGAAGTTTGGAGACATCAGCGTCACGTATTCATCAACGAAGACGAATATTTTTTTTATATTAGCGATTTAGCATTTCCTTTACTTCAAATCACTTATATTAGTATTTGATTATGAGGAAAAATCTAAATGCTCTTCATAATTAATTATGTTGAATTGACTATTTTTTCATTTGCAAAATCACTTAATTTTATTTGATTTTTTTTGTCCGGTAATTTGAATCTAATTCTTCAAAGCATGCCCTACAAAATTGAGTAAGGAAGTTCGTCACAATCGGCAAAGATTCATTCCGATTAATAAGCTAGGTAATATATATATATATATGATAATTCTAATCTCTTTTCATTTTTGATCAGATTCGTTCTTTCTTTACTCTCTCCAAAAAGACTCAGATCTAAAAGAATGTTGATTATAATCCTTGATGTTGTTAACCTTTGAATTAATTAAATTTGTAAAAATTAAGTTTCTAATATTGGATATTATATTTAAATAATATTTGATTAAAATGTTGGTGTGACAACATATTGTCATATTAACATATGTTTCTTTATTACGGATTTGTTGTTTATTTTTGTAAAGAAAATAAGTATGTTATTTTTCTCTTTAATGAGATTAATAATTATTGATTTTCATTATATTAAAGAAGATGACATTTTTTATTCATATTTATTAAACATGGTCTTTTATCTTGATATATGTTGTTGACACATGAGATTTATATGTTACACTTTTTCTTGTATTTTATTGTCTATCTTAATTTTTATTATTATTGATTTTCTGATTTCATGATTTTTTTTCTATACACAAAATATGTTCCTACCTATACGGTTTTATTTTCTTCAGTCAAGAACAAAAAAACATGTTCTGACCCGTTGTTTAAAAGAAATCACTGAATAACAAAAAGTATGTTCTGACTCGTGTTGTCGGCAGCACATGAGTTATTATTTAAAAAAAACAAATTCGTGCAAAACTTTACTCTATTCGATACTATAATATTATAATATATAACACCTATGTTTTATAATAAGTTTATGTAGTACAATTGTTTTCCTAAAATACTTCAAAAACGTATATTATTATGATATTTTGTAGCTGAAGATATGTTAAGAAAAGAAATTCAATGGAAAATTTATGTGGACTAAAAATAAAATATGTTCAGAAAGGAAAGTCGATGAACTACTATTTCCCTTCAACGAAGTACAAATTCATCTGCAGAAAAAAAAAATCAAAATAGATGCTAATCATTTTTAATTCTACAACAAACAATTTTATTGATAACAAATTAGGATTACAAAGTCAATACACCAAACTGCATATCTTCTTGCAATCTATATACCACGATCTTGTTGCAGTCTATATACCAAGATCATAAGTAGAAAATTAAACATGTAAAACGCACTTAGAAAGATAATTCTCATTTTACATTACTTTGCTAGCTTGTAGCAGAAAG